GATTAATGCATGATTATGTATTTGAAGTTACTTTTTGTCACATTTATTGTCTTCAACTTCCTACTTTTGTGGACTAATGCTTGTTGAAGAGCAGAGTGGCCTCTGAGTATTAAATGTCATTTTTCTCTTTCTTGGGCGGCTATAGCTAGTGCTTTGCAGATTAGAAACATACCAACTGGTGGGTGAAATTGATGTATGCTTCAGTTGGATAGTTTTAAGGGCCTGTGGTGTAGTGTTTAAAGCGTTTTCTCATCAGAGTGAGGGGCGCTGGGGTAGCCTGGTGGTTAAAGCGTTCACTCATCACGCAGAAGGCCCGTGTTCAAATCTCCACATGGGTAATGTGTGAAGCCGATTTCTGGTGTCCCCCCCCGTGATATTGCTAGAAAATTGCTAAAAGCGGCGTAAAACCATACTCACTCACTCAGTATTGATAAGGAAAACTATTTCAGCAAAAGTAAGTCTTTTGCCAAATATTGATAAAATGTGTCAAAACAATCCTACATGTATCAAACTCAACTCATTGGTCAAGTTGGACATTTGTTGTCAGGAAATCGTCATTTATGTACTGCACTACTGGGAGAGGTGGATATGGTTGGGACTTGTTCTAGCTGGGAATAATGCCTTTTTTTTATAGTGCTAGCCCACTGAGATACATTGCCACAGTTTTCCTGAATATCCCTCTCAGACATAGTATACTGACCCTGAGTCGACCAGTCCTTGATTTATCCCTTTAATGCCAAGTGCCAGGCAGGGTAACAACAAGTACCATCTTTAAACATCTTTTGGTATGATTCAACCGGGATGGAACCACCAACCTTCCAGTCTCTGGGCAGTACCAGCCAGTGCTACGCCACTATATAAATGATGGAGCAACATAGACCAGTGTTCCCCCTAGCTTTTGAGTGAGTGATTGAGTATGGTTTTCCGCCGCTTTTAGCAATATTCCAGCAATATCACGGCGGGGGACACCAGAAATGGGCTTCACACAATGTACCCATGTCGGGAATCGAACCCGGGTCTTCGGCGTGACGAGCGAATGCTTTAACCACTAGGCTACCCGACCGCCCCCTAGCTTTTGAAACTGCCAGTCCTGGTGTACTGGCAACTCTAAAAATGACCAGTCCCACCTAATTTTTGTCAGTCCCAACCTTCAACAGATAAAAATCGTATGGAAAATTACCTGGTTTTAATTCCTGCATCATGTTCAATGCAATGACGTCATCTCTGAAGTAACTTAGATCTACACGTCATTCACACAAAGTTTAGTCACAATTCTCTCTCTCTTTCTTGAATATTTCCAGACTAAGTCGCTACAAATATATCTTTAACCTTGAAGCAAAGCGAAATGTTATTTCGCTTGCACTAAAAATAGACAAGGGGAAATCCTGATGGTGACAGACAAGCTGACTTCATTCGAAAAAAATACTTATATGAATATCGCCAATGTTATGTTCAACAACAAAGGTTTTTAAGGTGCTATATTTGCCAGTCCACAGGGACTGGCAGTGACATGAATTACCGGTCCAAGCCTTATTTTACCCTTAAAAAACTGGTAATTACTGGAACACTGATAAACTGTGTCTGGTAGATCAGTATCACACATTACCCACTCTGTTCATGGGACGAGGTGCCAAGGTCCTACTATTGCTACACTGACTATCCAATATCTTCTGAAGCACCCTGATACTGGATGCTTACTTACATACTCTGACAACAAAACTAAAACCTTGGCCTTATCATTGTGTGTAGTTTTCAAACATGTCTTTCATTGTCAGTGCATACATTTCAGTGTGATATGTTTGAAAGCAGATCATGTGACTCTCTGAATGACTTTACCATCAGAAAGCAAACACATGATAATTAGTCGTCCAGAAACTATCACCAGAAGCATATACATAATAACTAGTTGTCCTGAAACTATCATCACTCCAGGATTTCATCACCAGTCAGATCCTATCAGGTAAAACATGCAGATATTTAATGTAAGATGTCTACTCCTTTCCTGGTGTATTTCTAGCAGTGGGGAAACTATTCCGACCAGATGTGTCGGATTTGGTCTGATGTTCGTACATATTGCTGTTGACTGCACTATTTAGGCCTCAGCTTAAAATAAAGCTGTTTGCACCATTCTGAAATATGGCATGCCTTGTTTATGGAGGGTACTACTAGCAATGCTAATTCCATCTCCAGATGTTGAACCATGCTTGTAGGAAGTGCGGGTCCAGTGGTGCTGGGTTCATAGGGGGCAGGGATGGGGAGAGAGGAGGGTGGGGCTTTCTAGAGAGCAGGGTGGGGCAGGGATGGGGAGAGAGGAGGGTGGGGCTTTCTAGAGAGCAGGATGGGGCAGGGATGGGGAGAGAGGAGGGTGGGGCATTCCAGAGAGCAGGGTGGGGCAGGGTAGGGGAGAGAGGAGGGTGGGGCTTTCCAGAGAGCAGGGTGGGACAGGGGTGTTCCAGAGAGCAGGGTGGGGCAGCGTAGAGGAGAGAGGAAGTGGGGTGTTCCAGAGAGAAGGGTGGGGACAGGGGTGTTCTAGAGAGCAGGGTGGGGACAGGAGTGTTCTAGAGCGCAGGGAGGGGACAGGAATGTTCTAGAGAGCAGGGTGGGGACAGGAGTGTTCTAGAGAGCAGGGAGGGGACAGGGGTGTTCTAGAGAGTAGGGTGGGGACAGGAGTGTTATAGAGAGCAGGGTGGGGACAGGGGTGTTATAGAGAGCAGGGTGGGGACAGGGGTGTTCTAGAGAGTAGGGTGGGGACAGGAGTGTTATAGAGAGCAATGTGGGGACGGGCGTTCTAGAGAGCAAGGTGGGACAGGGGTGTTCTAGAGAGCAGGGTGGGACAGGGGTGTTCTTGAGAGCAATGTGGGGATGGGCGTTCTAGAGAGCAGGGTGGAGACGGGCGTTCTAGAGAGCAGGGTGGGGACAGTGGCGTTCTAGAGAGCAGGGTGGGACAGGGGTGTTCTAGAGAGCAGGGTGGGACAGGGGCGTTCTAGAGAGCAGGGTGGGACAGGGGTGTTCTAGAGAGCAGGGTGTGAGAGTTTGGGGATTGTCATGAGAAAGAGAGAGCTAATGAAGATGAGGGCTTGTACTACTGTAGGAGAACACCGAAGAAGGGCCACCAGAAGAGTAGGATGGTTTGATGGAGGCAAGAAGGGCCACAAGAAGAGTAGGATGGTTTGGATGGAGGCAAGAAGGGCCACCAGAAGAGTAGGATGGTTTGGATGGAGACAAGAAGGGCCACAAGAAGAGTAGGATGGTTTGGATGGAGGCAAGAAGGGCCACCAGAAGAGTAGGATGGTTTGGATGGAGGCAAGAAGGGCCACCAGAAGAGTAGGATGGTTTGATGGAGGCAAGAAGGGCCACAAGAAGAGTAGGATGGTTTGATGGAGGCAAGAAGGGCCACCAGAAGAGTAGGATGGTTTGATGGAGGCAAGAAGGGCCACAAGAAGAGTAGGATGGTTTGGATGGAGGCAAGAAGGGCCACCAGAAGAGTAGGATGGTTTGGATGGAGGCAAGAAGGGCCACAAGAAGAGTAGGATGGTTTGGATGGAGGCAAGAAGGGCCACCAGAAGAGTAGGATGGTTTGGATGGAGGCAAGAAGGGCCACCAGAAGAGTAGGATGGTTTGGATGGAGGCAAGAAGGGCCACAAGAAGAGTAGGATGGTTTGGATGGAGGCAAGAAGGGCCACCAGAAGAGTAGGATGGTTTGGATGGAGGCAAGAAGGGCCACAAGAAGAGTAGGATGGTTTGGATGGAGGCAAGAATCACTGAGGGTGTATTCAATAGTTCATGTTTTTACACCCACTGGAGGATGTAGGAGTGTACACTGAGCCATTTATATAACAAATTTATGACAAATAATGATCTGGCACCTGCTATGCATAGATAGGACTTAAAGGTCTGGTCATTTTTCACTATAAACAATGTCTGATTTATTGTGAAGGAATGTTTGATATTTCAGTACCCCCAAAATGCAGGTATGACAGACAGCAGGCTATAAAGTTTGCAGATAATGCTAGAATCTGAAGATAAGAACACATTTTATGAGGGAAATATAATCATATATGTTAAATCATCAGTGATAGAGTTTTAATATATTGGTCTTATCATGTGGCATGTTTGTATGGAGTTGTATTGTCAAGCAGTTATCTCCCTTGAGCCAACAAATCAACATTTGTAACCAGCATGGCTGTAAGTCATCACCATCTGGAAAGAAGCACAAATTCAATGATTTGCAGGGAATTGTGGGGGAATTATTTTGGTGTGGTAGGAATCATGGACATTTTTAGGCAGCGACAATGTATAAGAATGAAGAATTCTTTTACTGTTTGATCATGATATTACAGCATTTTCTCTGTCAGTGTGTCCAAGCTTGTTTTTGGCAGAGTTCTGTCCCTTGGGCATTGCAGAAACCTATGATAATGAGTTGGAATTCAAGTTTCATCTAGATTGTGTTTCTTGGTCATGATGCAAGTGGTAATCGTCTAACACCTGTGCCTGATTCCCCAAAGCGATCTTAGCATTACAACTATTGAAAGCCGATGTCAAAGTATTGGCTTCACACATTGTACCCATGTCGGGAATCGAACCCATGCCTTCGACGTGATGAGCAAACGCTTTAACAACTGGGCTACCCCACCACCCCTCTTGAGCATGAACCACTCTACTACACACCTACATGTTCCATTGGACCTGTGAAGATCCGGGGTAGAATAGGTCTTCAGCAACCCATGCTTGCCGTGAAAGGCGACTATGCTTGTTGTAAAAGGCGACTAACGGGATCGGGTGGTCAGGCTCGCTGACTTGGTTGATGCATGTCATCGATCCCAATTGCGTGGATCGATGCTCATGATATCAATCACTGGATTGTCTGGTCCAGACTCGATTATTTACAGACTGCCGTCATATAGCTGGAATATTGCTGAGTGCGGCGTTAAACAACAAACCAACCAACCAACCAACATGTTCCATTGATCGGTCATTTAGGCATGTTTTGTCTTTGGCAGGCCCACTCCATGAAGGACATCGACTCCACCCACTGCGATCGGAACACGGAGAAGTCACTCTATAAATGTCTACACCGACACAGCGGTAAGCAGACAAACAGCCACTGACATCGGCCGACCCCAGTATATTAAATACTTGTTTAAGTCAGTTGTTTTTGTATAATACTTATGTCGAGTTTACAAGAAGAGAAGAATTTCGATAAGCATTCATCTTCTATTCATTATGATACTTACTGAGTTATCTCCCTTAATCACTCCAGAGTCTTGGTTTGAATCCCAGATTATGATTACTGGTTTGTTTGCACCATACAAGTGTGTTTCACTTTGTCGACTGCATTAACTGGTGTTCAGCAACCCATGCTTGCCGTAAAAGACAGCTACGCTTGTTGTGAAAGGCGACTAACAGGATCTGGTGGTCAGGCTCGCTGACTTGGTTGATGCATGTCATTGTATCCCAGTTGCGTAGATTGATGGTCATGATGTCAGTCTGGTCTAGATTTGATTATTAACAGACCGCCGTGATATAGCTGGAATATTGCTGAGTGCTGCGTTAAACAACAGACAAACAAAACAAATATTATAGCTGGCTCATACAATATTGATAAAGTAGACCAATGAGATTCCTGGCCTGTCTGTGTTCAGTGGGAAACAAGTGTTGTCATCAGTCAGTGCGGGACAGCTGCAGCATCGTCTGTCACAGCTTCTTCCTGTTGGGGTCAACGACGGCCAGAGCAAACCGTGACGTGGTGTACCGACATTGCAAGGGGGGAAGTCTGCCAGTGGCCAAGTGTGTCCAGAACCAGACCCGCTCGGCCAGAGCCAGCATCCCTCAAGACAGTGAGTATACCCTCGTTTCAGACATACCCTATTTCTTCATACTTATTTTCAGACATACCCTGTGTTCATCATACCTTTTTTTCAGACATACCCTGTGTTCAGACATACCCAGTGTTCAGACATACCCTGTGTTCAGACATACCCTGTGTTCAGACATACCCTGTGTTCAGACGCATCCCCTGTTGAGATATACCCCGTGTTCAGACATACCCTGTGTTCAGACACATCCCCTGTTGAGATATACCATGTGTTCAGACATACCCTATTTTCAGACACATCCCATGTTCAGACATACCCTGTGTTCAGACATACCCTATTTTCAGACATACCCTGTGTTCAGACACATCCCCTGTTGAGATATACCCTGTGTTCAGACATACCCTATTTTAAGACACATACCATGTTCAGACATTCACTGTGTTCAGACACATCTCATGTTCAGACACATCCCATTTTAAGACATTCCCTGTGTTCAGACATACCCTGTGTTCAGACATTCACTGTGTTCAGACACATCCCATGTTAAGACATTCCCTGTGTTCAGACACATCCAGTGTTAAGATTTACCCTGTGTTTAGACATTCACTGTGTTAAGACATTTCCTGTGTTCAGACACACCCTGTGTTCAGACACATCCAACATCCAATGTCAGACATACCCTATGTTCAGACATACTCTGTGTTCAGACACATCCCATGTTCAGACACATCCCGTGTTCAGACATACCCTATTTCAGACATACCCTATTTTCAGACATTCACACCATTCAGACATTCACTGTGTTCAGACACATCCCATGTTCATACATACCCTGTGTTCAGACATACCCTGTCTTCAGACATTCACTGTGTTCAGACATATCCTGTTCTGACACATCCCATGTTCAGACATTCCCTGTGTTCAGACATACCCTGTGTTCAGACATTCCCTGCATTCAGACATTCACTGTGTTCAGACATATCCCATGTTCAGACATTCCCTGTGTTCAGACATACCCTGTGTTCAGACATTCACTGTGTTCAGACACATCCCATGTTAAGACATTCCCTCTGTTCAGACACACCCTGTGTTCAGACACATCCAACATCCAATGTCAGACATACCCTATGTTCAGACATACTCTCTGTTCAGACACATCCCATGTTCAGACATACCCTATTTTCAGACATTCACACCATTCAGACATTCACTGTGTTCAGACACATCCCATGTTCATACATACCCTGTGTTCAGACATACCCTGTCTTCAGACATTCACTGTGTTCAGACATATCCTGTTCTGACACATCCCATGTTCAGACATTCCCTGTGTTCAGACATACCCTGTGTTCAGACATTCCCTGCATTCAGACATTCACTGTGTTCAGACATATCCTGTTCCGACACATCCCATGTTCAGACATTACCCTATTTCAGACATACCCTGTGTTCTGACATTTACTGTGTTCAGACACATCCCGTATGTAGACACACCCTATTTCAGAAATACCCTACCCTACCCTACCGTGTGTTCAGAATTTCCCTGTGTTCAGACATTCCCTGTGTTCAGACATTCCCTGTGTTCAGACATACCCTATTTTCAGACATACCTTGCTGTCAGAAAGCCAAAACGCAGAAGTGCCAAGAGGAGTGTGAGAGAGTGTTGAAGACGTCCTTGACGGATGACGAGATGGTAGAGGCCCTCATCAAAACCTGTGACTCCCCAGACATGCGGGTAAGAAGACCTTGTCATATACTGACATCCACAACCCTCTCTTACATCATCAATATGCATTGGGGAATATAGCTGTGGCTCGTGGCCATATTGAAAACACATACAAGTCATGCATGCATGTACAGGTACCATGATGTCATCATGTATCGTATGACGTCAGTTGTGTGTCACGTCACAACTGACCCTGTCCACGCTTTTAGTTGCCATACTTAAAGTATGGTGGCAGTCACACTGTGTTATTGATAAAGAAGGGCGGTCGGGTAGCCCAGTGGTTAAAGTGTTTGTTCGTCAAGCCGAAGGCCCGGGTTTCGATTACCCAAATGGGTACAAAGTGTGAACCCCATTTCTGGTGTGCCCCGCTGTGATATTGCTGGAATATTGCTAAAAGCAGCATCAAACCATACTCACTCACTCAGTATTGATAAGGAAAACTATTTCAGCAAAAATATGTCTTTTGCCAAATATTCATAAAATGTGTCAAAACAATCCTACATGTATCGAACTCGATTTGGGTGTAGGATTTGGGGGCCACTTGCACAAATGCATCTAAGGTAGGGAAGGGTAGTTACAATTTCTTTGTGCAAGTGGCCTTGTGTCTCAATAGGAATGGTAGCACTATTGCAGTTACTTTGTGGTAAAATGATCTAATAGTTGTTAAAGTTGTAAGATTAAGGATCACTGCTCCGTGAGTGTAGTGGATAGAGCGTCTGTTGGGAGTGTAGAAGGTTGGTGGTTGGATCCCAAGGCCGCGTCAGACAAAAAGATGTTTAAAGATGGTACTTGTTGTTACCCTGCGTGTTGTTCGGCATTAAAGAAATAAAACAAGGACTGGTCGGCTCGGAATGGAATGTTTCCAAGTGGGATATCCAAGCTAATGTATGGCATGGTATCCCAGAGGGCTTGCACTATAAAACCGGCAAAAGACTGGACAAGTACAAATGAGTGAGTGAGTTAAAGTTTAACGTGACATCGGCAATATCGTGGACAAGTACAAGCACCCTCACACTTGCATGCACCTATCTATGTATGTGGAATATCTTGAACTTGACATTACACCCAGTTTCACATCCTCGCAAGAGATCATGTCATTGCAGCTATCATGTTGTAACTAACAGTCATGGTACTACTATATTCATGAGAGTTGGGGTAAAGACTGTCACTGTTTCACTGTAACCATCCTCCTGCAGCTTTGAAGCTGAGTTTTGAGTTGGTCACTTGGCAGTGCAAAAACTATAGGGGTTGTATGATTAGCTGATTCCAACCAAATCTGTTCCCATTTCCTTCAAATGGAGAAAATTTGAGTTTGAAAAATCAGGTGACATTGTGAATTTAGCATTTCCCCTATGAGGAGAGAGTGATTGTCTGCTGATAAATGCATCTTTGAACATGAATGATGTTCCCGAGCTAAAACAATCACTCAGTCTGACAAGTTTCGTTTGACAAAAAAGGGTCCGCATGGCCGAGGTGCTGTTGTATTGATCTGGTAAAAGAATGCTCAGAATTTCAAAGGACTTAATTGGCACTTCTAAAGATAGGATTTTATTTTGACCAATTGCTGCCCAGATGTGTGGAAGCTAGAATTATCGCTGGTAGTCAAGGCCTGTGTAACGGAACAGGATGTGTCAGTAACTGCCACCACAGCATCAGCATCATGAGGGGGATAGGGGGGGGGGGGGGGGGTCTCACAATATTCTAATGCTTTTGTCCAAGTAAAGAGTTTCTGAGCTGCTCCTTATAGCGAAGGCGCGATGTCATCACAGTCATAGGTCCGCCCCAGCAATACGCGACTCAGACACAGCATACTGACTCCGAGCCGACCAGTCCTTGTTTTAGCCCCTTAATGCCGAGCGCCAGACAGGGTAACAACAAGTACCATCTTTTACCATCTTTTGGTATGACGCGACCTGGTATCAAACCCTGGACCTTCCGCTCTCCATGCGGAAGCTCTTCCACAAGACTACAGAGACAGTCTCATATTACTGTTGTTGATCTGTCATGGTATATAGTAATATGGAAGAATCAGGTGATCTTTAACCTTTGAGTAGAGACAACCCCCATCCCAAGAACATACACTTGTTGTGATAAGCAACCGAGGTGGATGGCAGGTCAGACTTGGTGACTTCGCTGATTGTGTGTCACGTTCTGGATGAGATATTGCTCATTATATCAACCACTAGTTTGTTTATTTATTAGGGGGCTGGTGTGATATTTCTGACTGGGAATCAAAAGCTTTCACTCACTCCAGGAAATCCTATGCTCCCCGATCTGGTGCCTAATGCCAGGCCTCGCTTGTAATAAGGGCCAATAATTCTGTTTTTCACTGGAATACAAATTGTTGAGTGAATTTCCCGTTTTTTATTGCCATCCACATATTGATTTACCGCATATCTGCAGTTTATAACCAATAATTGTACGTATAATTATTTGAAAAATGTCTATTGACAATGACAAGGAAGTAGTACATTTTTTACTTTTATCTTCCACGTTGATGTTGTCAAATCAGCTGTTTCAACCAATGAGGTGGTTATTGTGATTTGATACCTCTGACTGACCAATCAGAATCAAGTATTTTCCAAGTACATGGTAGATTTGATTTCATAAGCTCTACACTATCTTCTGTATTTATTCCACTGTGATCCTCAGGCAGTTATTCTGCAACTGTATCATATTAATTGTCGTGTACATGACAGAGCCTATGAAGCAATAAGTTCGGATATTGGAGAAACAATTGGATACGTTATCACACATGCCCTAATCAGTCGCTGTGGTATTTGATACCTGTATCTTATTACATGCAGTAAGCTTATGTCTTCGTCATCACTGTGAGGAACTGTGGGTAAAATGCCACACTCCAGCCTTGAAGCAAGGAAAGTGAAACATTCCTGACTCCGGTTCGCACAGTGAATGTGATAACTACAGTAATAGTTTTTCAATGCTTTAATATTGCCTAGAAAATTATCTGCCACGGCTTCATATTTCAAAGATGACTTCATCGACCAGAGTTTTAATTTCAGTTCTTTCCTTGCCGGGAGAATCCAACTCGAGAGTCAAATAAATTGAAACTCACATTCTGTTGGAAATATCTAGGTAGAGAGGAGCTTGAAGCCATTTGTTCTAGAATATTCATGTGAGATTTATGACTTGACAATAATATTCATATCTGGACAGGTCTGTAAGATAATATCTACCAGGTAAAACTTGTTAAGAAGAAATATTCCCCCTAGTCTGGAGGCTGACGGAATCATTGCCAGAATGTAACTGAGACATTGTCTTTGTTTAATTATGGTAGGGTCGGAATTGAAATGCATTAAAAAAAACAAATTTGTTTTTCTTATACTCAGTGTTTGTCGGTAGTACTGCTTGAACTAGACAAACATGTTCACCATGGTTACCTTTTCTGTCATTTTTATTCTGTCCCGATTTGTAGCATAAGTGAAGCATTAAGAATTGTTCAGAATTGCTACAAGTCTGGGAGGACTAGTTCCATCATTGCATTCTTACTGGTCCTCAGCACAATTTTCTAGACACAAGCAAGGGGAGTAGTGTGAATTTCAAAATTTGCAGATTGGGTTTGGAATATCTTTGAACAAACAGGCTAGAAACTCAATGCCCCTGCACCAAGTGGCTTTAACTGTAACTTGTGATGTACAGGGACTTGTGTGAAAGGAAATATTCGATGTTTGGATTTGTGACAGTTACCGTAAACTAACTCTTTTATTCTGTCTATATGTTGCTGGTTTATGTGTATAGGGACTCCCATACGTGGGTATATATGAATATCAACATGCCCGTGTTGTTTCAATTGGTCCGTTGCATATGCTTCTCATACAAGGTGACTGTGGGAGTGGTCAGACTCGGTGACCTGTAAGATCTCATAAGAAGAATCATTGGATTGTTTGGTCAAATCTTGATCTTGGTCCAGTCTCAATTATTTACAATCACTGGTTTGTCTGGTCCAAACTCAAATATTTTCAGACAGCATTCGTATAGCTGGAATATTGCTGAGTGTGGCGTTAAACCACAAAACAAACAAACAAATGTATATGGAACATGTAGGAATGTAGAAAGTGATATGCAATATTGGCCATATCTACCACATGTGATGCAAGCTCTGAAGCATCGCTACACAATCATGTACATACATGTATCTGTATATGTGTATATGTATCTCTGTACATGTGTGTCTAACCCAGCTCATAGCTGCCGTCATCTACATTCTTGCATGTCATATTCCTATTTTTAGTAGGAGTTATAAAGGGCTATTTATCTTAATGCAGATATATATGCGTTATCCTCCATCTCACATAGGGTATATTGTTTATTTATTCCCTGGGGGAAAAAATCTGGTTGGTATGGTTACAGTTCCAATATGTGCTTGGCACCACTCCAAAGATATTTCTGGTAATCATACAAGAATTGACAATATTCAAAACTCCTCTCTCCATCGTGTGTGAAGACTAATGATAGTGTTGGGTGTTTAATGGAGGAAGAGATGTGGTGGTGTTGGACTGGCTGATCGACAGCATGATCTACTGATGGGGCCACGAATCAGTTTCACTGACGGCATGGAGTGCTGCCTGGTGGGAGAGTGATAAGAATGGAGCATTTGTGATAATAACAGCCATTCTCTGGCATTTTTCTTTGCATGGGTTCTGTGTCCTCAATGAAGGAGGTGGAATAGGGATACAACTCGGGTGATCTTGGTACTCAAAATTATCGCCTGAAGCCAGAACCCTTCCCTCCGACTTGATTAATTCAAGCACACACCTTCCTTTGAGGTTTATTAAGCTAACAGAAAATCTGTCAGTGAGAGTTAATTAATTTGAATGTCACACCTCGAATACAAGCATTTGTTAACAAATTTTATGAATTTTCAAACTTCAAATGGGGTGGGTGTGACGGATGTATTTCCTTGTGCTAACAACACTTGTCCCATACGACTAGCTGTAAATGTTTATCTCAATTACATTAATGTCCAATGACCAAACTATTCTCATAATCGTCATGGTACAGTCCCAGATGGCTTCTGGGAGGTTATTTCTGAAGATAGGTGTGATGGTCTTAAGACATGGTTAGGGGTGGTCAGGTAGCCTAGTGGTTAAAGCGTTCGCTTGTCACGCTGAAGACCCGGGTTGGATTCCCGACATGGGTACAATGTGTGAAGCCCATTTCTGGTGTCCCCCGCCGTGATATTGCTGGAATATTGCTAAAAGTGGTGTATAACCATACTCACTCACTCACTAAGACATGGTTAGCTTGAGGTATTGTGAAACTCTTCTTTTGAGATGGTCCCTGAAGACCAATGTGAGATGGCCCCTATCAAATATCCAGCACTGAGAAGTTTAAGACAGATTTTACTTGAAAGAGTCGTATATCCAGGTTGATGATAAAATTTTTCTTTTAGACCATCTTACTGATGATTGGTGGTATTGGTACCAAGAGGTGAAGTTTAATCACACTTTTTCCACTTTTTGATGTAATTTTGATTGCTGATTCCTGATCTAGTGAATTGCAAATGTTGATGCGTAATTCAATCTACCATTGGAAGCGATTACGATGCACAGAGAGGGCGCCACCTACTGGACTTTTTAAATTGCTCTTTTGAAGTGACGCATGTCTGAGTATGAGGATGGGCGAGGGATTGATAACCCCTGTATCACATGGAGGCTGTCATGTATTGATCACCAGCTCTCTTTATTACACCATTTCTCCATATTGTTCCCTAGCCTTCGCCAGCCTAAGCGTTTTGGTGTTTCAAGCTGTTCTGGGAATGAGATACGAGCTGGTCTGATTGATGGGTCCTATGTTAATCCGTGCGTAGTCTTTGATCTGGCTCGATTTGATGGGTTATGAATCTCAGAGGCCAGGATAGGCAACATTGTTCTACAAGGACAATGGCTCAGGTTACAAGGCCAAGACAATCAATTAGGCTGCTGGGTTTGAAGCTGCCTGGTCAGTGAGGTGTTGCTCTCGTTTGATCGTCCTTAGTTTTAGCTGCAATTTGTCTCAGCTGCTCGAGCCAATAAAATCTTTATCAAAGAATTATTTTTGACAGATAAAGATTTGTTTAAGGTGTGCTATGGTGAAGTTCTGTTTGTTGGTTGGTTGTTTGTTTGTTGTTTAACGCTGCACTCAGCAATATTCCAGCTATATGACGGCGGTCTGTAAAAAATCGAGTCTAGGCCAGACAATGCAGTGGTTGAGCTCATGAGCATGGATCCACGCAATTAGGATGCTAACATGCATCAACAAAGTCAGCGAGCCTGACCACCCGATCCTGTTAGTCGATACTTACGACAAGCATAGTCGCCTTTAATGAGAAGCGTGGGTTTGCCAAAGACCAATTCTACCCCGGATCTTCACTGGTGAAGGGTACCTATGGTTAAGTAGTTGATAGAACAGGTGGTGATAAGTGGCTTTGGGCAGGTGGGGAAGAGGAAGGGGTGTGCCTTATATAGTGTCCCCTATTGTCCTATAGTTGTCCTTAAAATTTTATAACCCATGCTTGTCGTAAAAGGCGACTAAGGGGATTGGGTGGTCAGGCTCGCTGACTTGCTTGATACATGTCATCAATCCCAATTGCGTGAATCGATGCTCATGATATCAATCACTGGATTGTCTGGTCCAGACTCGATTATTTACAGACCACAGTCATATAGCTGGAATATTGCTGGGTGCGGTGTTAAACAACAAACCAACCAACCAACTAAAATTTTATAAATGAAGCATACCAGCATTATGTTATCCTCCACTTGTGTGACTTACTATGGTGAGAAAGATGCCCTGTTCCACACAGAAAGTATTGGTAATAACAGGTATCAGTGCAGTGATGTTGATAATTCCCTGAAACAGGTCGTTATATGTTAGATATTCCGCCTACAGCAGGATCAGGGCTAGTGCAATGTTCCCCTGCGTCTGCTGTCTGCATTATGGATGCTGCAATCGCCGTCACAGATACAAACAGATGGGTCGGATAATTTCCATATTCAACATCGCTATTGACCTGTTCCACAAAGCAATCTTGTTGTTACACCATCCATAGTTTCAGCTAGGCCTGTCAGAGGGCGATATTCGGCTCAGGTCTGCAGTGGATGTCGAACAAGTTACAAGTTTCCATGTTGGAATCAAACAAATATTCATGTTATAAAGTTATAATGTGATGGCTTTCTCGAGTGACATGTATTTCACAGTCAACGGGACCAATAGATAAAAAAATACTCACTGACTTGGTTGGTGCATGTCATTGTATCCCAACTGCCAAGGTCAATGCTCATGACGTCAATCACTTGATTGTCAGGCCTAGACTCGATTTTTTAAAGGCTGACGTCATATATGCTGGAATACTTCTGAGAGAGCGTCGTAAAACAAGAAACAAACAAAACTAAGTTTTGCTGTGAAAATCCTCCGCTTGGTGTATTCAGAAGTAGGGCGTTGAATGCATTGACAACTTCCTGTACAGGTCATGCATGTTGTCCTTAGAAGTCCCAGATATTGTGTTAGGGTCCCATCGGGTCTATATAATACACACTTGGTAGGGACCAGATGATGTTACAATAGGTTTGTCATATTACCAATTCATACCTTTCTTCTTCAATTCCCAGGATCCCTTGTGGCAGTGTTTCCTGTCTCCCCCAGTTACCAAGAAGAATGAGACCCAGCCTGCCACCGCCTTCGATAGTGCAAGACTCCAGTGCTGTGCCAAAGCATCTTCGGATCGCTGTAGGGAGCTTTGCACACATGTGAGTTCACTTCCTGTTTGGGCAGTGACAAAATGGCTATGGATTATGACCAGTCTGCAATAAATTTACCAAAATTGATAACATTTATCTTCGTTAGGTTTTGCTCAGGCTTAAGACAGGTACCTTAAAAGAACTACAGGGATGTATTAAGAAATCATACAATTGTAGCTGTATGTATCTGATGACATGATTATGGTTAAAATAATACATTAACGTTCTCGTTGACAATGGTTATTGCAATAATTGTATTTTTCTATCATCCCACTACTTGTTGTGGTAACAAATTTATTCATGAAGTGTAGAGGATATAACTGATATTTCTTTGTGTTTGTGTATGTTATAGACGTACACAAAGAGCTGGACGAAGCACGGATCCGAGTTTGACAAGAGTTGTTCGTTTATCCAGCCTGTCTCTGTACTGGAGGCCCCCATGCACAACTGTCTGCATGATGGTAGGTGGTGTGGAGGGAAGAATGGGAAGTCGGATTGAGGATGGTGTCATGGCTAGATGGAGGATGGGTGGTGGAATAGACAGAAGAGGGGTAGACAGAGGATGGTGGGGTGGAGAAAGGAAGGGCATATGAAGGATGGTGGGGTGGATAAAGGAAGGGCATATGAAGGATGGTGGGGTGTATAAAGGAAGGGCATATGAGGATGGGGGGTGGATAAAGGAAGGTCGTATGAAGGCTGGTGGGGTGGTTAAAGGGAGGTCGTATGAAGGATGGTGGGGTGGATAAAGGAAGGGCATATGAAGGATGGTGGGGTGGATAAAGGAAGGGCGTATGAAGGATGGTGGGGTGGATAAAGGAAGGGCATTTGAAGGATGGTGGGGTGGATAAAGGAAGGGCATATAAAGGATGGTGGGGTGGATAAAGGAAGGGCGTATGAAGGATGGTGGGATGGATGGAGGATGGGTGGTGGAATAGACAGAAGAGGGGTAGACAGGATGGTGGGGTGGATAAAGGAAGGACCTATAAAGGATGGTGGGGTGGATAAAGGAAGGGCATATGAAGGATGGTGGGGTGGATAAAGGAAGGGCATATGAAGGATGGATGGAGGATGGTTGGGCGTATGAAGGATTATGGGATGGAGGATGGTTTGGTGTATGAAGGATCGTGGGATGGATGGAGGATGGCTGGGTGTATGAAGGATAGTGGGATGGAGGATGGTTGGGTGTATGGAGGAAAGTGGGTTTGATCGAGGATATATCTGAGTAGGGTAGACTGTTGACATGTAGAAGGAAGAAATGGTACATTCTTGCCAGTCTGTTAAAATGATATCATGACCGAATCATGACTGATTTCCTCCCCCATCTGAAGCCGCTGATATTTGTTTTCTCCAGTTGATGAACCCTGCAAACTTGGGTGCAGCCAGCTGGAGTTCTGCACCAACTTCAACTTCCGTCCAACCGAGCCCTTCCGGTCGTGCACCAGGTCAGCGGACGAGAGTGCACGCAAGACGATCGAGATCTGGCAGAAGGGGATCATCTCCCTGCCCCAGATGACCATCCCAGTCAAAGGTAGGTAACTCTTGTGTCACATGCTTGATGAGGAATGAACAGGAATAATGTTAGGGCTGGGACGAGTCCAAATTTACTCCCCGGGTACCTGACCCCCTATTACCGAACCCTTCACGGCAACTCACTGCAGGTCTCAGAGTTGGGAAAAAAATGTATGAAAGGGGATCATTTTACCGCAGCCCTGGCCGAAACTATTTCAATACATGTATCAAACGATCAGATCATGCATATACACTGAAATTGACTCAAACATGTACAAGTCAAAAGGAATGTGTGGATCATCAGAAAGAAATGCAAACATTTGCGACTTGTCATTATATATACAATATATCACGTGACTATCCACGGGTCCGGGTAGTCCTGTGGATACCTGGGACCTACTCAGGACCCACCGGACCCGAGGACCCCAGTTACCCGTCCCAGCCCTAAATGATGTGCATATTTATCTCTTGTTTTGTACTGTCCGTCTATGTACATGCATTTCGAAAGTGAATCAGTGGTATAAGATTGAAGCATCAGGGCCCTGTACCACAAAACAATCTTAGCACGACGGCTGCCATAAGTCTATGGGAGTTACGAAAGCTTTGTGGACCAGGGCCCTGGTCTTTAATGTTTTATCAGCTATCCTGTCGTTGGCTTAAAGATAATTTGAAAATACTGCGCTTGTACATTTCAGATATCCGTGAGTGTGAGCCGGAGTTGTGGAAGGCCATCGCTTGTGCTGTTCAGATCAAACCCTGCCACTCCAAGCCCAGCCCTATCTCAATCTGTCAGTAAGTATTTCTGTATCGCTCATATCGTCGACCGGCTCTGTGGTCTAGTCGTAGAGTGTCCTCCTGGACAGTTGAAGGTCTGGGGTTCGATTCCAGGCCACGCCATACCAAAAGACGGTACTCGTTGTTACCCTGTCTGGGGCTCGGCATTAAGAGACTGAAGCAAAGACTGGTCAGCTCGAAGTCCATATACTGTGTCTGAGTGGGGTATTCATGTTAAACTGCGACATGGTATCTCAGTGAGCTAGCACAATAAATCAGCATCAGTCCGGACTAGTACAAGCCACCACACACACACACACACACACACACACACACACACACACACACACACACACACACACACACATCGCTATGTAAGTGCAATAATGTTGGACATGACGTTAAACTCTATTTCACTCCACCTCACGCATATAGTCACAGTTAGCCCAGGTCCCAAGGTGCTATAATTTGCTGTGTAGAGTTGCTTCCCCTGGCAGTTCCTCATGGCCATGTGGTGAAGTCCAGAGTTCTCCGATTATGTTTGATGTCTGTTGTCATTATACGCCGGTGTTTGTGTCATCAGGGAGGACTGCATCTACATCCTCAACAAGTGCGTGGACTACACACGTCTCAACAGCGACCAGAGCGTACCCCAGCTGTGTCACCCGCTGCCTAAACTCTCGGACCCAGGGGCCTGCACGTCAGTCACCAGATACCTCAGTAAGTCGTGTTGTTTACTTAAGAAATATACCAAGAGTGGGAGTTGTTTATTGTACAATAAAACATTGCAGGGAGAATTACGATAAGCTTTAAAAATAGTTACTAATAATAGTTAATTATGATAATGATGACTCCCTAAATAGAATCTGACCTCGGAAATGTTGGACACGTCCATTTTACTAACAGTTTGGTTAAGTTTGGTATTTCCCCCATATTCTCAATCCTGACATCAATTATCTGTACCTTTTCTCCTTATATTGATTGTCATATCTCTCCCACTCTTTGATGTGATCGAACGGCCAGTGCATTTATCTTCGCATGTTCAAATCTCCAGAAATGACGTCATGATAGAACAATGTTTTGTCATGAAATAAACCACTGCGTAGCTATCTTATATCGATATTTACTACGCAGATGCAACGAAACTGATACTGACGCCTCAGGATAAAACTGCTATACCAAAGAATTTTTATTTTGTGGAAAATTGACTTGCGAGACGATTATCTGCTCTTTTCTTATAGTTTGTATCCATTTTCATGTAGTGTGTTTCCGTATTGTTATTATCATGTATTGTATTATTCTCATGTTGTAAAATATCTATGTTTACAGCGGAAAGTGAGCATGTGTCGAAGTCGTGGGAGGTGACCAGCCCGTGTCGCCCCAACCCGTGTCGGTCTCGGGAGCTGTGTCTTGTCCGCCGCAGGAAGTGTAAACACAAGGACAATTGCAAACCTTATATATGTAAATCAGGTTCGTTAAAGATAGTTATGTTCTCATTTTGCAGTACTTGTCCCCAAAAGCCTTCATTAATGTCCTCCATACCCACAGCCCCCAGTAGCGTCCTCTGACCCTACAACATTCAGTAATGTCCTCTGACCCTACAGCCTCCAGTAACGTCTTCTGACCCTACAGCCCCCAGTAGCGTCCTCTGACCCTACAGCCTCCAGTAACGTCCTCTGACCCTACAGCCTCCAGTAACGTCCTCTGACCCTACAGCCTCCAGTAACGTCAGCTGACCCTACAGCCTCCAGTAACGTCCTCTGACCCTACAGCCTCCAGTAACGTCCTCTGCCCTTACAGCCTCCAGTAACGTCCTCTGACCCTACAGCATTCAGTAACGTCCTCTGACCCTACAGCATTCAGTAACGTCCTCTGACCCTACAGCCCCCAGTAACGTCCTCTGCCCTTACAGCCTCCAGTAACGTCCTCTGACCCTACAGCCTCCAGTAACGTCTTCTGACCCTACAGCATTCAGTAACGTCCTCTGACCCTACAGCCTCCAGTAACGTCCTCTGTCCCTACAGCCTCCAGTAACGTCCTCTGACCCTACAGCCTCCAGTAACGTCCTTTGATCCTACAGCATTCAGTAGCGTCCTCTGACCCTACAGCCTCCAGTAACGTCCTCTGACCCTACAGCCTCCAGTAACGTCTTCTGACCCTACAGCCTCCAGTAACGTCCTCTGACCCTACAGCCTCCAGTAACGTCCTCTGTCCCTACAGCCTCCAGTAACGTCCTCTGACCCTACAGCCTCCAGTAACGTCCTCTGACCCTACAGCCTCCAGTAACGTCTTCTGACCCTACAGCCCCCTGTATCGTCCTCTGACCCTACAGCCTCCAGTAACGTCCTCTGACCCTACAGCCTCCAGTAACGTCCTCTGACCCTGCAAGCCTCCAGTAACGTCCTCTGTCCCTGCAAGCCTCCAGTAATGTTGTCTGTAGCACAAGCCACCAGTAACATCCTCTGTACCCACAAGCCACCAGTAACATCGTCTGTTCTCCTCCAGCCTGCCTGCTGGGACACGTGTCCAGCTTCCTTGTCCCCCACGGAGCCTACGTCCGGATCCCGGACCAGCAGACTAGCACGCGCAGCCAGCAGTGCTTCAAGGCGTGCCGCTGCGGCCACCGCAGGGAGGTCGGCAACTGCTCTCCCCTCACATGCTTGCAGAACAAGAACTGCAACATGGGACCCGGACATATCAAAGGTACGCTTGATGTCAACTGTCCATATGTCCTTGATGGGTTTGGCTCACCATGTCATAAATACTACCAATAGCTGAAATGAATTTACAGTAAACTACGTTTATGACGAAGTGACCCATATGACAAACTTATTTTGTACTCCTGGCCATTTGTTGCATATATGCTGTATAAATGCTTATAACGAACTACGGTTATCACAAACAAAAATTAGTGGTCCCTTTGTGTTTGTTATAATCATAGTTTACTGTACTTCCATTGGTCTTTATGTCAGAGCTGTCCCCCAACAGTGTCCTCTATGATGTTGACCACCTCTCGTGTAGTCAGAAGAGCATTTCCCAGAGTGGAAGATCGGTTGTTTTATCCCCTGACTGCGTAATACCAAAATATCTTGAAAGATGGTACTTGTTGTTGCCCTGCCTGTCCCATGCAATTAAGGGAATGAGAAAAGACCAGTACTTGTCACTTGTCAGCTCAGAGTCAATATACTGTATCTGAGTTGGGTGTCCTTGTTAAATTGTACCATGGTATCTCAGTGTGCTAGCACTAGAAAACTGGTTTTAGTTCGGACTAATACAAGCAGCCATACACACATACATATATGTTGTGTACCCGTAAAAGCACTTGAACTTATTTCAAGAGAGCAGATGACCATTATGGTCAAAGGGGGGTAACTCTGATCCATCTTCTGTAATCGTGGAGGAGTCAATACTGCTGATTTCAGTGTTTGGTTGCAATAGGACCGCCTCAGTGGTCGAGTGGTAGAGCCTCCGCCCAAAGAGAGGAAGGTCGCTGGTTCGATCCTCGACCGCATCATACCAAAACACATTAAAAGATGGTACTTGTTGTCACCCTGTCTGGCGCTAGGCATTAAGGGGCTGAAACAGTGACTGGTTGGCTCGGAGTCAGTTTACTCAGTGTGCTAGCACTATAAATGGGCGTCACTCCATACTTGTACAAGCAGCCACACATACACACCTTGTTTAAAGAGTTTGTTTTTTTTGCCTCTAACCCGTTTGTTTTTGGTTGTAAATATGAAATTAATCTGTCACTCCTTCCGTTGTATTGATCAGATCATGGCAGCCATTTTGTGGTTGATGGAAGCAACTGTATCTGCAACGCTGGTCACCTGATCTGTGCCCGCCGGACATGCTCAGTGGACCCTGGTCTCACGGCCGGTCACTACACAGGTGAGTCAGACAGTCTCTCACTGATTGGGTGAAATATATCACCCTGGTTACTACTGTAATCGGTGTCGGCACCCCAGGTACCTTTCTGTACATGTATTCTACAAATGTAACCTATCTCTGCTTTGGGATCAGAAAAGTCTGTTTTCACGCTGCAATAAACCGGTTTTAGTTAAGTTCATAACAAAATGCATAAGCTCAGTTGCGTGTTCAAATTGTAGTTCGCTTTTGGTTGAGATATATTTCTGTAGTACTCAACAACCTAGTTACTCCACCATTGCTCTGTGTTGTGGCTGTTTTCAACTTACGTAGATGTATTTTGGCATGTCATGTAAGATTACTAAACTTGTACTTGTACAGTCATGTACTAATAACATGACGTCACATAGTTTGGGCCAAAAAATGATAATAGTCATGATTCTCAGGCCACGCCCTTATCATAAAGTTCGCCTCATGTTTCATTTTTATTTTCATTTTAAAAAAAACACCAAAACACCCAAAAAGTCCAACTGTAGTCAAATTCTGTATTCCAGTAATTAACTCATTAGAAATACATTTATGTAGGGAGGCCCTTTCCCAGGTTGAAGTACACAACTGTTTATTTGGTTAAACAACTGTTTATTTGGTTACACAACTGTTTATTTGGTTACACAACTGTTTATTTGGTTACACAACTGTTTATTTGGTTACATACTAGTTTGAACAACTAAGAATAAAAAGAGAGAAAAAACACCTGCTCGCAATATATCTTAAAGCCATTGCCTGAGAACCAATTCTTTTACTTTCATAAGCCTCTGTTTCTTTGCCTGCCCAAGTATCTTAATTTTGTTGTGATAAGACATTGTTACCACGGTGAGTACCCACGTCTCTGTGTTGCAGGCATGCCAGGCAACTGCCCTGCCACCTACCAGCCGATGTGTGGAGGAAACGGAAAGACTTTCCCCAACGCCTGCCTCGCCAAGTGAGTGACCGTCATGCAGGACACTACACAGAAGTGACACCTACACATATGACACACCGCAAGCATGACACCAGACAGTAGGGCAGGGACGGGAAACTCCGGTACTCGGGTTGGGTGTCAACTGAGAAGGACCCGGGTATCCATAGCAAATACCGGGCAAATACTTTTACAAGTATCACTTGACCCCAACTGATATTTTCATGATTCAAATAAAACTGTTTTCTATTATACCCCCCCCCCCCCCCCCCCCCCGCTGGCTCCAGTACTGACTACCCGGATCCGTGGTTTGTCATGTGATATATTATTTAATGACAAAAATGATCTAGAACTATATGGTTACACTACAAGTCACTTATGTTCGCATTTCTTTCTGACTTTTATGTGCTTGAATAAAGATAAAACTTCAGTCAGCTTCAGTGTATGCATGACCAGATTGTTTCATATGTATCTAAATACGTTGTGTTCAGGGATACAGTCAAACTATTCCCAATTAGACATTTTGTACCTATTTCTTAAGACCTACAGCGGATACCTGGGTAGGGTCGGCTAATAGGGTGGTTGGTACCTGGGTCATAAATTTAGTCTCGTCCCAGCCCTACCAAGCAGCCATCATTTCTCATAACGGATGTGACACCACACAGATATCAGAACATACAAACATGACAGTCGCACACAAATGTGACACCACACTGATATATAACCACACATGTTAACGCCATCTCACACTCCCTCACTCACTCTACACCATGTGTTCACTGGCTTCTGTGTTTAGGTGTGCGGGACTACAGGAGAGTGATCTACAGATTGGCGTGTGCAGCACCATCGACCCGTGTCAGAATGATCCATGTGGGGAGGGGCTTAGATGTGTTGCTAGGCGACAAGTCTGCATCACCGGGAAGAACTGTCTACAACACGAGTGCAGTAAGTTACCTTGATTTGCCTCTGTGGTATTTTTAATTCATTTCAGGACAATGGTCATCTTTCAGACCTCAGGCAAATTGCATCTAGAGATTTATTTGATGCAGGACAAGATGCGAAGATACTGAATATATATACTTCAACTCAAACCTCAATATGTTTGAAAAAATTGTTTTTAGATATCACCTTGCATCTATGACTCACTTTTGAATATATCAACTTGGTCTCATCGCTATATGGATGAAATAATGCCAATGCAACTGTAAATTTTAACTCACTCACTCACTCACTCACTCACTCACTCACTCACTCACTCACTCACTCACTCACTCACTCACTCACTCACTCACTCACTCACTCACTCACTCACTCACTCACTCACTCACCCACCCACCCACTCACTCACTCACTCACTCACTCAATATCCTCGGGCACCACAGGAACCTATATGAGTTCAAATTCCAGGTTCACCCGATTATGTTTCTCGGTTTGTCAGCACCATACCCGTGCTCAAGGGTTTCACCAAAGTGGTAAATATTTGAGACCTGAATCAATTCAGGCTTTCCTCCCACATCAATCTGACACGCCGTTGTAAAAAAAGCATTAAACCCAACTCACTCACTTAATATTGTCTCCAACTCATCCTGTTGTATGTACTGTTATGCATTTCAGTTCCTGCAACCGACTTCAACAACTGCAACAACCACATCCACGACCCTGTGTGCAACACTCACGGAGAGGAGTTCACCAATGCCTGTCTCCTGTACTCCCACGGACGGAAACTAGCCTATAGGGGGCACTGTATGGTAGGTAGACTTGAGGTGATAGCGGTGGTATGGTAAACATACTATACCTAAGGCTTGCCACACTGCCTATAGGGGGCACTGTATGGTAGGTAGACTTGAGGTGATAGCGGTGGTATGGTAAACATACTATACCTAAGGCTTGCCACACTGCCTATAGGGGGCACTGTATGGTAGGTAGACTTGAGGTGATAGTGGTGGTATGGTAAACATACTATACCTAAGGCTTGCCACACTGCCTATAGGGGGCACTGTATGGTAGGTAGACTTGAGGTGATAGCGGTGGTATGGTAAACATACTATACCTAAGGCTTGCCACACTGCCTATAGGGGGCACTGTATGGTAGGTAGACTTGAGGTGATAGTGGTGGTATGGTAAACATACTATACCTAAGGCTTGCCACACTGCCTATAGGGGGCACTGTATGGTAGGTAGACTTGAGGTGATAGCGGTGGTATGGTAAACATACTATACCTAAGGCTTGCCACACTGCCTATAGGGGGCACTGTATGGTAGGTAGACTTGAGGTGATAGCGGTGGTATGGTAAACATACTATACCTAAGGCTTACCACACTGCCTATAGGGGGCACTGTATGGTAGGTAGACTTGAGGTGAAAGCGGTGGTATGGTAAACATACTATACCTAAGGCTTGCCACACTGCCTATAGGGGGCACTGTATGGTAGGTAGACTTGAGGTGATAGTGGTGGTATGGTAAACATACTATACCTAAGGCTTGCCACACTGTCTATAGGGGGCACTGTATGGTAGGTAGACTTGAGGTGAAAGCGGTGGTATGGTAAACATACTATACCTAAGGCTTGCCACACTGCCTATAGGGGGCACTGTATGGTAGGTAGACTTGAGGTGATAGCGGTGGTATGGTAAACATACTATACCTAAGGCTTGCCACACTGCCTATAGGGGGCACTGTATGGTAGGTAGACTTGAGGTGATAGCGGTGGTATGGTAAACATACTATATCTAAGGCTTGCCACACTGCCTATAGGGGGCACTGTATGGTAGGTAGACTTGAGGTGATAGCGGTGGTATGGTAAACATACTATACCTAGACACAGCCTTGGCCCCTAGATGAAGATGTGGATTAGAATTTGTCTTCAACCCTTGCTTGTCATAAGAGGCGACTAACAGTATCAGGTGGTCAGACTCACTGATTGGTTGATGCCAGAGCTCCAGATAAGCTTTTGGTGTTGTGGGTATTTTACCCATGCATTTTAAAATCATTGGGTATCAGTAATTCTATCTGGGTATTCAAATTTCTGTTACCCACTAGTTTTTACACATGTGGGTATTTAAGTTAAATGTTTAAACACTATTCATCTAGTAACTGCAAACTGGTGCCGTGTGGGTTCGAGAGCTTTACTGGACTCAAAAATACCACGATACTTCCTCAAGAAAGTGTGATGGCAAATGATCATGATGTAACTGTCATCGTGGAGTTTGGCAAGGTTGACGGAATGCCCGTTTATAATTTCAAAATAAGTTGCTGATTTGCTAATCGAATACGCAGGGTTACTTCACAATATTTAGATGATACGCACAAGTTTTATTTTTGTAGTGTATCTGTAATGTTCGTTGCGTATTTGATACGCTTGGATTTTATTTTAATGCATCTTTCTGCATTTCTGATGCGTATTTCACGCAGATACGCAGCTTATCTGGAGCTCTGTTGATGCATTGCGTAGATCAATGCTTGTGGTGTCAATCTCTGGATTGTCTGGTCAAGACTAGATTATTTATAGACCGTTGTCATATATGTGGAATATTGCTGATTCCAGTGTTAAACAATAAACAATCTTGACCCCCGTCACCCAGTATTAACCACCCTCTTATCTGTATTCAGTATATCTCCACATAGAAATGCTCCCTTGGTAAACAGCAAACACTCTGTGCAAAAATTAAATGAATTGTATTAGTTTTTTTACGGAAATTCACTACCCTGTCCATCGTTCTTCAGACGAACTGTGCAGATTCGGGTACCGTGTGCGGCCACAACGGGGAGACCTACCCCAGCGAGTGCGCTGCTTTGGCCGACCGTGTTACCATGGACTACCGCGGGGAGTGCCGCGCCTTCGGGAACCTCACAGGTACAGCACATGAACGTGTGAACATAGTCATTTACTTCACTAACAGTTTGTTGTGAATGTGTATTAACGGTTGACACTTTTCGCTTGACCCTACCATTTTAAATGAAATCCAGATAACGAATTAAGCAGATTAGTGAATAATTCTTTCTTTTGTGTATATATAAAGTTTTTTAAATAAATGTCTGGAAATGGGTTTCAGATTGCTGGAATCCAGACCGATAGGTTTCATTGTACAGTAAATTCTGTTATATAAGGCTATAACTAATAATAGTCTTGGTTCTCATTCGCCGCCCGCATCATCATAAAGTCCGCCACACATTTCAGTTTTTTTTTCCATTTTATAAAAAATAATCCCAATACTTAAAAACAATGTGATCCAATATAGCACACAGTTACTTCCCTTTACTGCACAACTTGTTTTATGGCAATGGCAGCAATAGGAGTTTGTATGCTTGTTTATGTAGGGAGGCCCTTTCCCAGGTTGATGGTACACAACTGTTTATTTGGTTACATACTAGTTTGAACAAGAAAAAAACAACAACCCCCATCGCACTATATTTTCAAAATTATTGCCTGAGAACCAATTCTTTTATTTTTTTAAGCCTAACGAACAGGGTTTTTATTCCCCATCAATTTGCTGTATATTTTGTTATATAATAAGGGATATATCAAACAAGCTGATAAGGAAATGATGGCTATAACGACTTCATGTTGTGGTCCTGTGTATATCTGTCAACGTCAATGTTTCGGTTCATAACAAACTGTTAAACTCACATGTCACCAATCACTCTGTCAAAATGGCCATAGACAATCGAAGAGATTGACGGGATTAAGATACTGACACTCCCTGTCCTCAATGTACACCCTGTATTAACAACGGTATAATAGCCTTTGAAGTAGGGGCAGTTGGGTAGCCTAGTGGTTAAAGCGTTTACTCGTCACGCCGAAGACCCGGTTTCGATTCGACATTGGTACATTGTGTGAAGCCCATTTCTGGTGTCCCCCGTCGTGATATTGCTGGAATATTGCTAAAAGCGGCGTAAAACCATACTCACCCTCACCAACCTTTGAAGTAGATATATTTGTCTATAAAATGCGACAAATAGAGTTGTAGTGGAAAGTTTTAAGCATGAACGTTAACTTTCACGTAGTACATATATACCGTGCATGAGTAGTATGTAGTAGTCACATGACTTAATCCAGGATGTCTGACAGTCGAACTGCTTATAAGGAACTACAGTTATAGCGAACAATAATAATCTGCGTTTGTTATAACAGTCGTCAGCTGTATTTGAAATTCCAGACTTTTGTCAATTTGTGTGGGAGGAGATCCAAGGACTTGTGTTAAATCAGAAACTCCCAACTCTTGTGAACAATAACATTTGTTATATGGTCTACTCAAAAGAAGTTAAAGAACTTCCTATTTTTGGGGATGAACTATAGCCATATGAAAGAATAGGGTGTTGTTTAACTTTTTTGAGTAGTATTTAACTTGGGGATTAAACTTGCTATTTTGATGTAGTTACAGAAATAACTGGAACATTTGTTCGATGCATGTCCTTACTGATTTTATGTCCATTTCAGCTAATTCACCGAAGACAAGCACCTGCGCCCACATCAAGTGTCCAGAGCTTCGACCAAAACACTGTCACGGAGTTACACCTCCTGGCGCCTGTTGCCCTATCTGTGGTGAGATAGCTTTGTAGGAGTCGTTAGTTAGACTAGTTGTGTCTCTGCCTGACAGAGGGCTGGACAAGTCACGGAGTTACACCTCCTGGCGCCTGTTGCCCTATCTGTGGTGAGATAGCTTTGTAGGAGTCGTTAGTTAGACTAGTTGTGTCTCTGCCTGACAGAGGGCTGGACAAGTCATGGAGTTACACCTCCTGGTGCCTGTTGCCCTATCTGTGGTGAGATAGCTTTGTAGGAGTCATTAGTTAGACTAGTTGTGTCTCTGCTTGACAGAGGGCTGGACAAGGATGTCTGTTGTCATGTGTGAATGGAGGTCAGACTAGTTGTGTCTCTGCTTGACAGAGGGCTGGAGGTCAGACTAGCTGTGTCTCTGCTTGACAGAGGGCTGGTCAAAGATGTCCGTTGTCATGTGTGAATGGAGGTCAGACTAGTTCTGTCTCTGCTTGACAGAGGGCTGGAGGTCAGACTAGCTGTGTCTCTGCTTGACAGAGGGCTGGACAAAGATGTCGGTTGTCATGTGTGAATGGAGGTCAGACTAGTTTTGTCTCTGCTTGACAGAGGGCTGGACAAAGATGCCGGTTGTCATGTGTGAATGGAGGTCAGAAAGAAAAGAATATTGTCACAAAATGAATGTTAACATTGTATTGGTTGCCATAATCTCATGTTAAGAAATGGACTGTTCCATGCATGGTTACAATGATCTCCCATGGGGGATGGGGACAAAATTGACTATTCCATGCATGGTTACAATGATCTCCTGTGTTAACAGAATGAACTGTTCCCTACATCTTTACAATGTTCTCCCATGTAGCACTAAAACTGTTGCACTCCTACTATGTATCATTGACTTCAATAGTTGGCATGCATGGTTTTCGTATCTATTACTAGTTTAATGGGAACATAACATCAATGCTGCCCTAACTTCAGTTTGTTGTAAGCAGTGTCTGTATGTTTTCAGCCGCCGAGCTCCAAGCGCTGTTTGACCCGCGAGTAGCTGAGTTTGCTGCCAAGGAGATGGGTGGTGGTCCTATGAGTGTCACTGTCCTCCTCAACATGCTGTCCGACCACCTGATGGTAGCAGAGTGCGATGTGTTTGGATATCTTGGTGTAGATGGCGCTCTCATCATCCTCATCGCCCCGGTAACGCAGGACCCAACAGAACTCCAGGTGAGACGTTGTGTCATGCTGACACACTGTAATGTAAACTGAAGATTCAGGTCATTCGTTCAATCTCAAAATTGATCTGATAGCAACAACCAATGCGATGCTGATGTGTTTGGTTTTCTCTGCAGGTTGAAGCTTGCATTAGCGAAGCTCGGAGGTTGGAGGATCTCATTCGAACAGGAAGTCCGACGCTGATGTCCTACCTGACCTTGACCCCTTTACTCCTTGCCCCAATGAGAGCTCCGCGTCTCGGCCGTGTCAACACTGCAGCCATCTTGTCTCCTGCCTCCTTATCAGTTCTGGTTGCCATGACAATACTAACATTAATAGTCACACGAACAAAGTTGTGATGACTCTAAGAATCTCAAAAATTCTATTTTTGTTTCCATGTTTGAAAAAATACAACATTATTTGAAGTTGTGACCATGATGCCAACAAACAATGTTGCTAAGCAACCATCTAAACGACACCTGGTGTTTTTTATTGAAGGTGTTTCTTCTTTAGCCTTGTCCATTTCTTGGAGGAATGGATGATGAAAAAATTCTGGTCAAAGACAAATGTGATCTATAGTTAAGGGTCTGTTTGGGAGAAAAACTTACACAGCAAGTTGAAGGAAACAGTTCATCAATGGAGAAAACCCTAACAGACCCTCTGAAAAAGGTTACCTTAAGGATCTGCACATTCAAATTCAGGGATTAGAGTCATGTGAAGCTTGCCATATATTAAAATGGTGGGCTGTCATGTGAAAAACATTCACATTTTGTAAAATGTGTTCAGTCAGAGAAAGGGCACTAGTACAAGTGGTGACAGTTTTGTAGCTTTAGAGGAGAAATACAGCGTTCTTTGAACACCGTAAGAAGATGTTGTGCCAAAACAGGACCTTTCGGGACGATGTCCTGCAGTGTGGCAAAATGACGAATCTTCCGCTCTGGACTTCGAAACAAGTTGTCATGTGAAATTGTCATGTGACTCTACAAATGGTCGTGTGAATCGCCAAGTTACATTGTCATGAGACATTAAGTAGTCGTGTTACACAAGTGACCAGGCGACATTTATGAACTCAGTCATATGACTCTTCAAGTGGTCATGTGATGTTTCTGTGTGAAGGTTGTTGGGGATGTAGAATGATTGGAAGTGATAGTAGTTCTCAGGAGGCGTCATATGGCCTCACATACCCCTACACTGGAGATATTGCTATAACGATATATTGCGATGTACCAAAGGTCTCCTTAACGAGAAGCTATACTCTAGAGGTAGCTGTTGACCGTCAGTATGTGATATTTCAGTCTGTGTGCTCGTTCTGTATTATGGGATGTATATATGTCTTTACTTTCCGTCGTAGTGGCATATTTAGTGCTATGAGGAGTTGTCTCCCCTTACCCCACATTAAATTTGATGTCATTTATTTTATTTTTTTAGAATTATTTTTTTTATACATTTTGATTTTTTTTCAGTTATTTATACCATGTAGCTTCCCTTACTTGACCTGATACATTAGTGAGTTAACATTTTAAAGATGAACAATAAATAACTGTCCCAGCATCACTGTATCCCCTGGTGGTAGATGGTGTAAGGGGAGACAATTCTACCATGATTTATCTGACTATGAGAGCAACCCACACCTGTATTGACCTGTCCCCATGTTGACAGTATCTGTTGAAGAATCAGTATTCCTAAAACTACTTACCACATATCAGATCTATGTCTCGGTTGTCATACGGTTGATGTGATCTCTTAAATTCTACTCCCCTAAGGAAAATGCAAGAACAACGAAAAATTGCATCTCACCTTTAACTCTTGTGTAATAATCCTAACCCTAGTAAATTATGTTAATCCTACCCTACTGACTGCTGTGAATGTGTGAAGTTTGTGTGTGTGAATGTGTGAATGTTTCAGGTTTGAGTGTGTGAATGTGTGTTAGAAAGGTATATTCATTGTTTACTTAGTGTAATGTACAAAGCAACACCTTTTGCCATGTTTTTTGTCTTTGTTGCCATGGTTATCACTGTTGCTATGGTTCTTCTTTCTGTAACCATAGTTTTTTAACCGTTTGCTTTCCATTATTCCCATGGTGACAACCGTTTGTATTATGAAAACTGAATCAAAATCAACTCTAGTTCTTCTGCACTAGTGGTACTTGCTAAAGTAATTACCTTAGATTTTTAATAACCATGGTAACAAGGTCATAGAATTAGCAGACATGTATCAGAGATATATTTTTGTGAATCTCATTAGATTGGTTACCATGTCAACCTGAATATTGGCCAATGGAATGCAGTGTATTGATCTGAACAGAACTACTTCTAATGTACGTCACTCCAATTTGGACAATTTCATTTAATAATACTTCCAGGAAAACACTGTCCATTCACAGAAAACTGAAATCTTTTTATCATTTTAATACATTGTTTGTGTAAACAAAAGAGTAATTAAATAATGCCAGAGTGTTGTATGTTGCTGGGATGACTCACCATTAGAGAATAGTTCTGTTCTTGAATGGCATAATTCTATTTCGGTCGGCGTACCCCCCGGACCCCAGCCTATGTGTGCTTGTTGCTATTACTCCTTTTTGTTTGTTGCTTTATATTTATCTTTCATGATTTTGTGTTATTGCATAATTTAACCCAAACCAACAGTTCTGGATACTTGTTACGATGGTTGTAAGATTTATACTTTGTTTTTGAATCTGTTTTGTTTCAATCATTAACGACACCAAATATTGCCAAGACTACTAAAATGCTGCCGCCAAATGGATTGTATCGGTAGTGATAGACTTATGAGTGAGTGAGTGTTTTCAGTTTTACTCAGTGTGTAAATCATTTAGTAAAACTTCTGCCCGTAACCCCTGCCTCGACATTTACAAAAATCCTAACCCTGGCAAGAAGTATTAAGAAATTATTTGTGTAGTGTTTGGGTAAGGGTTATGTTGCCCTAACCCAGGCAAAATTTGAAGCATGGGTTTCGGTCGGAAATATTTACAGTCATTGTATTTCCTTATCATGCCAAAGATAATTGCTTGCTCTAGTTCCAATCATGCTTTATATTTAAATTCTTGTGTTGGCTTCAAGATACGTTTTCTGAAGGATAAACTATGAAGTGAGACAGCTTGACAAACCACAATAATATTTAAATAGTTTAGACCATGGCCTGCCATGACTCTCATAGAGTTACCTCCCTTTGCAGTGTTCTGGTCAGCCTGTGCATGCGTGTGACCTCGGTTTACAACAGTGACTGGCGGCCAGACTGTCACAAGGCAGGGAACTCATGCTTTGACGCTTTAGTTGTTGACTTTGTCTTACAAATTGGAAATGTTCGACTTGTGGTATTGAAAACTTGCAGTGTACGTTAGACTCACAAAGGTAGCGGTTACTGTTGTGCTTCACAACAAGCATAATGTCAGACCAGAGGGTTGTGTGACATCAAGGGCGACAGGTGGATCAGATGTGCCCAGTCCCGACATGTTTCTTGAATCTATAGTCAACATTTTGTGAGCATTTGGAACCGGGGCATAATGTAAAAATATTTCACAGTAGTACATTGTCAAATTCTAACAGTCAAATGCATTTTGAGCTTTCTAAATTAAATGGCAGATTCCTGGGGTGGGACCTTGATTTTGTTTAATAATTATACCTGTTAATTAATTATCCACTTTTGACTCCCTTTTGAAAACTGTAATCCATCTTTTATGTTAACTGTTTCTTACGACCCTAACACCTGTTTGGTTTGTCCCCTCCACCCACCTTCTCATAGTCCTGCCTACTTCTGCTGTAGCTAACTGCCTTGCTGCAAATACAATGGCATGTTGTACAATCCAATGGCTTGTTATATGACACAACAGTATGTTGTATAACACAATGGCAATGTTGTACAATCCAATGGCATGTTATATGACACAACAGTATGTTGTATAACACAATGGCTATGTTGTACAGTCCAATGGTCCTGTTCTACAGGTCAATGGCAGGTTATACAACAATCTTGTATAACACAGTGGTCATGTTGTACAATCCTGTAGTCATGTTCTACAGGTCAATGGCAGGTTATACAACATGATGGAATCTTGACAATGGTCATGTTGTACCATACAATGGCTTTATTGTTCAAAGCAATGGCTGTATTGTACAACACAGTGACTATATTGTACAACACAGTGGCTATATTGTTCAACACAGTGACTATATTGTACAAAGCAATGGCTATATTGTACAACAGTGACTATATTGTACGAAGCAATGGCTATATTGTACAACACAGTGACTATATTGTACAAAGCAATGGCTATATTGTACAACATTGTACTTGTATTAAGTATTGTTACCTACCAACTTCTAAAAATACCAAACAGTTGATGTTGTACAACACAATGGCTGTGTTGTACCCCCTGTACAGATTGCTGTGTACTCAAAGTGCTATGTTGTGGTTGAGTGAGTGTGCTCACTATGTCTGTGACAATCAGTTGAAATGTAATTAACCAAGATGACAAAAAAAAACGAGACAATTTTTTATCAGCATTTTTGTGTCTTTTATACATTGTTTTTGTGCTGTTTTTGTTTGTGTGATAATTTATCTTTGGCGCTGCAAGATAAATAAACTAATAGTTGTCTTTTCATACATGTACTGTGCAGGGAATTATGGCTGGAAGTGGCATGGGGAAATAGGATTGTTGTTGGGACAGGGAAATAATAATAATAAATGGGGAAATAGGATCCTAGGTGGGAAGGAGAAATAATAGTATATGGGGAAATAGGATCCTAGGTTGGAAGGGGAAATAATAATATATCATGATATATGGGGAAATAGGAACCTAGGTGGGAAGGGGAAATAATAATATATCATGATATATGGGGAAATAGGATCCTAGGTGGGAAGGGGAAATAATAATATATCATGATATATGGGGAAATAGGATCCTAGGTGGGAAGGGGAAATAATAGAATATAGGGGAAATAGGATCTTTGTCAGGGAGGTGAAATAAAAGATGCTGGACATAAAATTTGGTTGGGAAATATAGCTGTAACTGGCATGCGGAAATACTTCCCTTATAAGGGAGGTGGAATTTGGAATTTGCGGATATGTTGTTGTCTGCATGACGAAATGTCCTATGGGCTTGTTATTTATATTTTTTTGCATTGTGAAAAGGAACATGGGCATTATTACAATCCGCTGTTTGAATGTTTTAAAGTTTGTTTATGGGGTGGGCGGGTACCTGCATTGTATGGGGTGGGAGAGCTATATTCAGGTGTAATTTATTATGTGTGACAAGGCATACTGAGCGCAAACTGCTCAGTGTGCGTGTGTTTTGTGGACGTTACAGTCACTGTATTTATAAACATGCATGGAATTTTGTTACTGGTAGGACAAATGGAATTGGGTTTCCACTGATTATATTTGTTCTCATTCAAGTGTCATGTTGTTTGCCATAACAAGGTGGACATGGGTTGGTTCATTGTCATTCATTGGGCACAGCCTACTTCAACCCTTGGCCAGGTGACAGAGGCGGAGTTGAATGATAGTGTTAATCTCTCTGTGTATTGTGTTCAGATATGCTCTTGGACTATTTGTGATACACACGTGAACACCGACCAACTAGTATTACCACAATGTGCATTCACACAAGTAGGACAACAACTGAGGAAACGTGCCAGACATTACAATGGAGAGACTTTGTAAGTTGTACATGGCATTGATATTCTGTAACCATGGCAACTGTTGAATTATTTCCATTTAGGAAAAGCCGGCAATGTGTTCACATTGGGTAGATTTTATCCTGCATTAGGACCACCACTTATTGCGTTGTCATTCTACAAGGCCACATGTTGCTACATTAAGCTAAAAAAAATAATCGTCTTGGTTCTCAGGCACCACCCACATCATCATTTTCAATTTGCAGAAAAAAAATAAAAATTCTAATACTTTAAAACAATTTGATCCAATATAGCACGCAGTTACTTCCCTTTACAAGCGCACTGCTTTACTGCGTATCTCATGTTATGGTCATGGCGGCAATTGGAGTTTGTACGCTTGTTTATGTAGGGAGCAAAAGAAAATCACCTCCAAACCGCACTATATTTTCAAAAGTCATTGCCTGAGAACCAGTTCTTTTATTTTTTTAAGCATTATCGTCCTTGATTATTGTAGGCCTAGTGTGTACAGGAGTGGCTGGAAAGACTAGAGTTTAGATTATTGAAAGATCTACATAGCTTGGTGAATTATTATCATCACCAAGTCCTTGTTTTGAATTCACATTTCTAAATCAGTGAGACAGAATGAACAAACACTTAGCCGGTTGTAGTTTAACGACATTTGAAAGGTGACTTCCACTACAAGTTGTGTTTCTTGTAAATGTATAACAAAGCTGATAGCATCTCATTTGCATATGTCTCGGGTTGAGGGGAAAACGCATGTATCACATCCAGGATCAGGTCAAAATATTTCTGGATTTACAAAACATCCGAGTCTGCACTTCTCCAGCTGGCGTACACTATGTTCCCCCAGGGAGGGATGTAGCAGCACACGCTGGAGAACTGTTGACGAAGATGTGATGCTAGTACAGATTTGTGCAGGTATTCAGAATGGTAGTGAGTTATAGAAGACGCCTGTCACTGAATGTCAGTCTGAATGCATCCAAACTCATTCTGTCACTGAATGTCAGTCTGAATATATCCAAACTCATTCTGGCACTGAAACCCTAGTCAGATTAAGCCATGAATTAAATTTGAAATTGCGATAAATGTCTTTCCTTTAGACTTAGACTTTAGATATTTTGTTAAGTATTCCTTGATGGATTCTTAAGACTTAATTTGGTTCTTGGTGCAAGGCCTGATGTGGAACTTTGAAATAGAAGTAGGGTCTTCGTGCTGAGATTGTATGACCCACGTTTTGCAGGTTTATGTTGTGGTAGATGCTAAAACTGCATACTTACAAAATTGTTGCTAGGAGACTAGGGTTATCCTATACTATAACACAGACCAAGTTGTTGCAATGTTATAGTATAGTCTTATTGCAACAATGTTTGGTCATTTTTGTTATTATGTAGGATATTACAAATCTTAGTGCTACAACTGTTGTAAGTCTTTGTTTGGTTAGAGGAGTCTTATCACTACAACTGTTGTACTCTGTTAATGTATGAGAGTTACATTGGCTTAGTGCTAAGATTACTTTTTTACGAGTAGGCCCCGGGAGGGTCCCTTGCAACAAGCTATCTTAGCGCTACAGCTGTAAACTCCCATACTTTACTATAGGCTTATGAATGTCATACTGCTAAGATGGTTTGTGGAACAGGTCCAGGGTGTCCTTTATACCAAGCTATCTTAGCGCTAAGGTCATCGTAACTCCCATACTTTTAAATGTGAGCCTCGTTATGGGAATATGCAAATGAGATGAGATCTGGGAGTGAGTGAGTGAGTGAGACGTGGAGTATTATCGTGTGTGGTTCCTGTTCTAGTCACGAGTACAGAGGTTACAGTGTATCGCTATGCAAGTCGTGCGTCACCTCTGCGTGTTTGTTGCATTTATACTTGATGATCATTTGACTTGTGTACATAGTAATGTCTGTTTTATCCTCCATGTTGCTCCTCACAATTGTACAGTTCTCGTTAAAACAGGACAATAAAATCCATACAGTTTCTACCTGTGTGTTTCAGTTGTGTCTTCTGATGAGCGAAGTGACCATATCTTGAAAGATGAACACCTAACTGGGGCTGGGGCTGGGGCTGGCGCTGGGGCTGGGGCTGTCCTAGTGGTGAAGGTGTTTTGCAAGTTGTGAACAATTGACTTGCCTTTGCATGTGTTTGTGATAGTGCCATCAGTGGGGCTCACCCTTTTGCAAACACCTGGTGTCATTGCTATTTGATAGTGATTCACAAACACATGCTCATGATATAGTTGGAATAGTACAATCGACTCTGCTTTATGCAGCGATTTCTATTGGATATGGAAAGGGTTTTGTCACTATATTGCAACCGGGCTCTGAGTGTTGAATATTGCAATGGATTTAATGTGCATACAATTGGATGCAGGAAAGATATCTCTGCATTTGGATATGTCTGCCATTGTTTGTGGAAATTCACAAACACAACTTCAGCCATACATGTACACATTGCTGAGATGTATGAAAGGTGTTGGCTCAGTAAACACCACTGCTGAGATGACTACAAGGTACCGGCTTAATAAACACCATTGCATGTATGTAAGGTGTTGCTTTAATAAACACCATTGCGGAGATGTTTTAAAGGTACCAACTTAATAAACACCATTGCTGAGATGTATGAAAGGTGTTGGTTTAATAAACACCATTGCGGAGATGTTTTAAAGGTACCGCCTTAATAAACATTATTGCTGAGATGTATGTAAGGTGTTGGTTTAATAAACACCATTGCGGAGATGTTTTAAAGGTACTGCCTTAATAAACACCACTGCTGAGATGTATGAAAGGTGTTGGCTCAATAAACACCATTACTGAGATGTTTGTAAGGTACCAGCTTAATAAACACCATTGCTGAGGTGACTGCAAGGTATCAGCTTATTAATAAATACCACTGCTGAGATGTATGTAAGGTACCGGCTAAGTAAACACTATTGCTGATCTGTTTGTAAGGTACCGGCTTAATAAACATCATTTCTGAGATGTATTGAGTGTGTTGGCATAATAAACACCATTGCTGAGATGTAAGCAGGGTGTTGGCTTAATAAACACCATTGCTGAGATGACTGCAGGGTATGGCTTATTAATAAACACCATTGCTGAGATACCTGTAGGGTGTTCAGTTTCAGAGCATGAAATTATCACGAGACAGCATCACTTCTAACGGCTGTCCACTTGGCCAAAGGGGCGCTACTCTCATTTACAACACTTACATGATCGTTTGAAAAGATACTTCCGTTTTTTAGTGATGCTCTGAACCTACATAAATGAGAGTCCGTTTACTTTTGTTCAAACGTATTTAACATGTTCTGCGATAGATCACTGGCAACTGCAAAAAGTCACGGAAATATTCATGCAGAGACCATATACCGATATATGGTCTCTGATTCATGTAAAGGGGTGCAGGCTAAAACGGCACCTCAGTAAAACGTCAACGATTTCTCTGGCGAAAACGGCACCGCATTTGGCGAAAACGGCTACTATGTGTCGGGCGGAAAGTTTAAAGGGGAAAGTATAACAATAATGCAGTTTTAGGATATATGCGTAGTGTCTATATGTATTTCTGGTGGGGTTTTTTTTAAATAAAAAAACAGTCGTATCTATCTACAGTAGTACAGCTGCACAAGGCTTCCGAAACCCCCACCCGAATGAGCAGCTGCTATATCTGAACACGATGACCAGCTGCTGATGTCAAAAGTCGTCCCGTCTGCACGTGATGTTATTACACAATGTGGGTGGATTGTTATCAAACGGGTGATATTTTCACGGGAGAGTAATAACAAGCGTTATCTCATGGTAGGTATCGATTCAATGAATTGCATCAAAATGCTTTGCTAACCATTGTGATGTCATCGGTTGCCATGATGTCACAACCAAATGACATCACTAATCCTTCTGCGTCTGAAGCTGGTTAGCTGTATTATTTACAACCAAAACACTGGTTGTACGGGTCTCTTAGCTTTACTCTTGAATATTCATAACGAAATTCAAAAGGTGGCGGACTGTACAAATATATAGGAAGTGAAAGTGATGCCTGTTTAGCCTGGTGCCAAGCACGTGCTCCCTGGAACCTGAGTACATGGAGAAGGATCCACTGGTCCGATGAAAGCAGATTTTTGCTGCATCATACAGACGGGAGGGCACGAGTTTGGAGGCAGAGAGGCACAGCATATGATCAGAGGAACATTCAAGCTGATGTTCCATTTGGGGGTGGATCCGTCATGTGGGGGGGGGGGGGGGGGGGGGGTTGTTCCTACGATTGTAAACTTGACCTCATCATAGTTCCCGGAACACTGAATGGACAGAGGTACCAGAACTTGATCCTGGACGGTGCTGTTGTGCCTCAGTTCGATAACCATGCTCTCGCCACACGTCCAGTCTTCATGGACGATAATGCCAGACCTCATCGTGCTCGAGCGGTTGTTCAGCATCTCCAACACAACGCCATTGAGACACTACCCTGGCCAGAAGTCCAGACATTAATCCTATTGAGCATTTGTGGGACATTTTGGGACGTAGGGTGAGAGCAAGGGATCCTCCAGTTCAGAACCTTCAGGAATTGACCCATGCATTGCATGATGAGTGGCAGCAGATCCCCCAACAGAGATTCAGACGTCTGGTGACCAGCATGAGACGGCGTGTAGAAATTGTTATCCAAGTGCGAGGCGGTTACACCAGATACTGAGTTAGCCAGTCATTGTGGACCTCACTAGTGTGTTCAATATTAATGAAATGTGAACTGTGTTGTGTGTCTGTTGTAACGACTCCGGCAGCCATACTTATTTCACGGTGATTTTAGTGAACTTTAGTTTGCTACAATTAAACCCTCAATTAGTGCTCAAATTCGGTCTTGTGTTGTAAATTTTCTCACTGAACGCTCACATGAGGCCATATAAACAGTTTAATGTGTTTTTCTAAGCACCATGTTTATGAGGTTGAAGATCCCGTTTTACTTAGTGAAAAAAGTTGGTGGTGCGATATTTATGACGAGGTGTACGAGGGGTGTCCCATAAGTTTCCGGCCTCAACATGAACGGATAGCCCAAACTCAACCAAACTGCACCTGTTGCTAGAACAGTATCTCTGCACGTGGATGACATGCAAAACATGAATCCCACGTGCAACAAGTTCCTATAAATTGCTATCAAACAGCATGACCCCCTCACTTTTGGAAAAAATGGACCGAATGTAGAGTCGTTATTAAGGATCTACATTTTAAAATGTTAACGCCAAAGCAAATTCATAATGACAAACATTAGGTGACAATGCTCCTTCGTATAGTACGGTCAAACAGTGGTGTGCTGAATTTACAAGGGGCAGACGCAGCACTGAAGACGAACCACGGTCTGGTCGCCCTTGTGAAGTGACTACCCAAGATGAAGTTGCAGCTGTTCTTGATACAATAATGCAGGACAGACGAGTAACTGTTAGACAGTTAGCTACTACACATGACATGAGTAAAACATCAGTGGAACGAATAATCCATGAACATTTACACAAGAACAAGGTGTCTGCCCGCTGGGTGCCCAGTGATGACTAAAGAACAAAAACGTCAGAGGGTCATGATTAGTCAACAGCTTCTGGAAGATTTTCGGAGAGATCCACGTGCTTTCATGGCTCATATTGTTACTCAGGATGAAACCTGGGTTCATCATATTGACCCAGAGACAAAAAGTCAGAGCATACAATGGAAGCATGTGACGTCACCAACACCCAAAAAGTTCAAAAGCACATCTTTCAGTGGCAAGGTCATGGCCTCCATTTTCTGGGACTCCGCGGGCGTAATCATGATAGATTATCTACAGAAGGGTTCCACCATTAACGGTGCTTATTATGCAGATGAATTGCGCAGATTGCGTAATGAAATCAAAGCAAAGCGCAGAGGTAAACTAAGCCGAGGTGTCTGGCTCCTCCAGGAAAACGCACCAGTTCACACCGCCGAAGTAGCAGTGAGCGCTGCACATGAATGTGGTTTCAAGATCCTGCCTCACCCAGCCTATTATAAATCGCAAATTACTTATGGAGGCCGGAAACTTATGGGACACCCCTCGTATATCTAAGGTTGCCTCGTGGTCAAGTGGTAGAGCGTCAGCCCGGAGAGCGGAAGGTCCGTGGTTCCATCCCTGGCCGCGTCATACCAAAATACGTTCAAAGATGGTACTTGTTGTTGCCCTTTCTGGCTTTGGGGCTAAAGCAAGGACTGGTCGGCTCGGAGTCAGTATACTGTGGGGTATTCATGTTAAACTGCGGCATGGTATCTCAGTTGGCTAGCACTATCAATCGACATTAGTCCGGACTAGTACAAGCAGCAAAACACACACACACGTACATGCACGTCGCTATATAAGTGTAATAATCTTGGACGCGACGTTAAACCCAATTTCACCTCACCTCACAACAAACTGTTAAACTCACGTCACCAATCAGTCTGTCAAAATGGCCATAAACAATAGAAGAGATTGAAGGGATTAAGATACTGACACTCTGTCCTCAATGTACACCCTGAATTAACAACGGTATAATAGCCTTTGAAGTAGGGGCCGTCGGGTAGCTTAGTGGTTAAAGCGTTCGCCCACGCACACACCCCCGCCCCCCCACACACACAACGCTATATAAGTGCAATAAACATGGACGCGACGTTAATTCCAATTTCACCTCATCTCACCTAATACCGCCTCCGTGGTCTAGTGGTAGAGCGTCCGCCCGGAGAGCGGAAGGTCCGCGGTTCTACCCCGGCCGCGTCATACCAAAAGACGTTAAAATATGGTACTTGTTGTTACCCTTTCTGGCGCTCGGCATTAAGGGGCTAAAACAAGGACTGGTCGGCTCGGAGTCAGTATACGGTGTCTGAATGGGGTATTCATGTTAAACTGCGGCATGGTATCTCAGTGAGCTAGCACTATAAATCGGCATCAGTCCGGACTAGTACAAGCAGCCACACACACACAGACACGTACATGCACGTCGCTATATAAGTGTAATAATCTTGGACGCGACGTTAAACCCCATTTCACCTCACCTCACCTCACCTCACCTCACCTCATCTCAACTAAGGTTGCATTTTATGCGTTTTATTTCCGAGTTACCATTGATTGACACTGGTAAACTCAGGGTGAAACATGTTAACTCTGGTTGCCAGAAATATGGTAACCTTGTTTGACTCGGGTCGCTCAAATTATACTAATCGAACACACGTACTGAATCAATGACTAAAACTAATTAGCTGATGACGTCACTTGGAGGCAGCTTTGTTTGTTGTTTAACGCCGCACTCAGCAATATTCCAGCTATATGACGGCGGTCTGTAAATAATCGAGTCTTGATCTGACAATTCAGTGATTGACATCATAAGCATCGATCCACGCAATTGGGATACGATGACATGCATCAACCAAGTCAGCGAGCCTGACCACCCGATCCTGTTAGTGGCCTCTTACGACAAGCATAGTCACATTTAACAGCAAGTATGGGTTGCTGAAGACCTATTCTACTCCGGATGCTCACCAGAGTACCACACCTCAGGGGTTACGTGGGTATGGGCAACCGAAGTATCCCTAAAACAGTTTGGCCATAACTGTGTGACAACGGGTTCGACAGAATTATCCAGCGTTTTGAAAACGCGAGCACTGTCATCGTTTTCAGCTATACCAAGGGAGATAACTCATACGAGCTTTTTTTCATGGTCACACTTCTTATTTGTTCGTCCCAAATTCCATACACCAGTTAACTGTCACTATTTTCCCGCGCAAAATTTCACCCGAAATCAAGACACATTGACGCGCATTCAGCATCAAACAGTAGCGCCGATGAAATATTTTAGGAACGCTTTAGACAATATATACTTTTCCTTATTTTTATTAACTTAATTTGTAAAAAATATAGTACTATAAATAAAAAACACATATATTTTAATTCACAAAAATTATGAAATATATATGTTACTTATTTTGTCAAAAAAAGCGAACAGATTCCAATATTTGTTTTAAAGAAAAAGGTACCAAGTATATGCAAAGTATACTCCCTTACTTGTTGCTAGTTTGAAGGTTATTTGGTCGAAATATACACTATTTACCATCAGATGGATAACGGACGACATGCCAATATGTAGTATTAACCCTAATAAGGGTTTTACAGATTTGTGGTACCCCTATCTAGGGGTAATTTAATGTTAAAACGACAGTGCAAACATACTTACGGCTGAGGAGGTATTGGTGACGTTGATGAGGCGTCCTTGCGTATTATCGAGCTTCTCACCTCCAAGATTTTTCAGAGGGCACCGTAACTAGATTCTTATGGCAGAATAACTTTTCAAGTCTTTGGCGATGCATATCAAATATTTGATAATTTACACGTGTCGGGTCGACTATTGAGAGCAAGCTCCACCCTAAAACCGAAATTTAAACACGTCTGTGGAAAAGGATTCGCAAAAACGACTTTTAAAAGAGAAAAAAAACAAAATACCAATATGGTCCTAATGGGCTTCCGTAAAAAAGAAACCATGACCATAAAGTCATATCATAATTATTAAAAATCTAACTATTGACAAATTTCAAGTAATAAAATATAAACCATGGGTTCCGATCAGTCCTTAAATCGCTCTTATTCTAAAACAAGTGCGTATCTTTTCCATTCAGTCTCGGGCAAAAGGGATCCCGATACTATAATGCAAATGTTCGAAGGTTTACACAGGTTTAGATCTATATAATTTCTTGAATATGTTTATTATTTTTTCACGGTCAAAGGGAGACAATTCAATCGATTTTATCCCATGAGGTAAAGTTCAAGGGAAGTAATTCAGTTTAGTAAATTGACCGTGCTCCTGTCTGACTGAAAGCGCTGAACTTGGAACCAGTTGGAAACGAGTTACGTCCCTTGTAGCTCCTTCAGACGACACCTAAGGTTACATGTCAGTGTGGGGGCGGCCATTACAAGAATCTTTAAATTTGCCCTCTAACCCGAAATGTAGTAACGTTAATATTTCTGTTTATGACCATGGGAATGCCATCATTGCGAAATTTGAAAAAGTTTGCTAATGACTACATTCGAACGGAAAATCACCAAAGTTCCCCCTTAAATTTTTACTATACCAATTACATGATAGAGGAGCGCAGGCGCTTAAGGGCAGGCAAACCATTCCAGAATAATCTGTACACGATGTGCTAACCAGTTATTTCTAAGCTATTTCTGAGAACAGTGCGTGAATGGGTTATCGCGGTGAGGAGTTTAAGTTTCCGGGCGGGGTAAATTTTCAACGACGTCTACAAATACGAACGTCTACACCCAAAATACGACCATTAAAACATATATCTGGTCGACTATTATGTTTTTTTAAATGTTTTTTATTTACTAAATTATAATGACAGACGGATCTGATCTAGTAAAGTTGACCTATCCTTTCCTTGCTGCCGTGAAGGGGTGGCTTCAGAAAACCTCCTGACTGGATTGAAAAGGTTCACTATCGGTATGAGAAGTGTATTGAAAAGCAGGGATAGTATGTTAAAACATAAAATTGAAAACACTTTCACAGTTGTAGTTTTTTGTTTTTTTTACCAGCCCTCGTATATGTTGAAGGGAGCTAGAACAGGCTGTGTTGATTACAGTCAAGCTGTTTGTGGTACAAGTCGCTTTAACTACCTTCTCGCTGAGAAAATCACCGAAGGTAGTAGTCATGAGATTTTCAAAAGTGGAAGCAACTTAAGTCTACCTTAACGACCAACCCCGAACTTCACAAATAACAGAGACGCCCGTCTGTGTGATTGCCATTGTCGCAAGTTTTTATGCCATGTGCTTGCTTTCTCAACATCAACACAGTTCCCCGCTTTATATGTAAACTAAAGTGTGTGCGGTGTGTGTGTGTGCTTGTGTGTGTGTGTAGAATAGGTCTTCAGCAATCCATGCCTGCCGTGAAAGGGGACTGCTTGTCGTAAGAGGCGACTAACGGGATCGGGTGGTCATTCTCGCCGACATGGTTGATGCATGTCATCGTATCCCAATTGCGTAGATCGATGCTCATGATGTCAATCACTGGATTGTCTGGTCCAGACTCGATTATTTGCAGACCACCGTCATATAGCTTGAATATTGCTGAGTGCGGCGTCAAAATGGTCTCGATGTGCGTGCGAGCGTGTGCTTTATAGTGCTAGCCCACTGAGACACTCCATTCCGAACCATTATTCCGACCAACTCTTGTTTTATCCCCTTAATGCCGAGCGCCAGGCAGGGTAACAAGTACTATCCTTTCACGTCTTTTAGTATGACGTGGCCAAGGATCGAGGCTTCTGCTCTCCGGACAGATCATGGAAGCAACTAAATGGTACCAGAACACAAATACATGTTGTCAAAGAAACCTGTCCATCTTTCAATGATACAAGGCAATGTCCTCTCATTTCTTGCAGGCTTTTAGATCAACGCCCCACACTGTAATAAGGAAAGTCATTGTGCGTGTGAACGTTGCATAGCGTCAGAAATAATCCAGCTTTAAAAGATCGAGAATGGACTAGAATGTACCAAGGTGAGGTGAAATGGGGTTTAACGTCGCGTCCACGATTATTGCACTTATATAGTGACGTGCATGTACGTGTGTGTGTTTGTGTGGCTGCTTGTGCTAGTCCGGAATGATGCCGATTTATAGTGCTAGCTCACTGAGATACCATGCCGCAGTTTAACATGAATACCCCACTCAGACACAGTATACTGACTCCGAGCCGACCAGTCCTTGTTTTAGCCCTTTAATGCCGAGCGCCAGACAGGGTAACAACAAGTACCATCTTTTAACGTCTTTTGGTATGACGCGGCCGGGGATCGAACCGCAGACCTTCCGCTCTCCGGGCGGACGCTCTACCACTAGACCACGGAGGCGGTCGAATGTACCAAGGGGTAAGCATGGCACACTGGGGACAGGTTCAGCCCTGGGTGTGATAAGGGGGTGAGAACATTATTGATGAAAGAGGACATACGATGTGCATGCAAACCTACAGTTCAACCAAAACGTTTTCCTGTATGCCACATCTTAGACATAAATGTATGTTCAAGGGATTTAGACCAACACTGTTTATCAACTGCTGGGTAAAAGAAAGTATGGTGGCTAAAAATGAAACAAGAAATGGTTATTCAGTGGTGATGTATTTGATATGGGTATCACAGTTGTGTTTTGAACCTTAAATATGTAGTGTTTTGGAGACAGTTTTCAAACTAGTAACGTTTTTGGACAAATCCAATTTTCAAGTGTATACGTTCTTTTGCCGGGCAGTTAATAAACGTATCAGTTCAAGATATTTAGACCAACATGCACTCCCCTGTATAGAAACATGGTTGAGTTTAATTTAACCCTTTTTTTATTCAACCACATATGTATGTGTGTGTGTGTGTGTGTGTGACTGCAAAGTTTGAAGAATTAGTCTTCAGCAAACAAACCATGCTTGTTGTATGATGTAATTAACAGGATCGGGTGGTCACGTTTGCTGACTTATCACGTTTGCTGCCAATCATAGGATTATCTGGTCCAGACTCGGTTTATCACCATCATGTAGCTAAAAGCGTCCATAACAACAAAGTGACTTTTCTCATCCCTGGGTCCTGAGTATTGCAATTTAATAAGATAATATGCATGATAATCGAGGATAGAATAATTCAGGAGGATGTCGTCTTGCAGTGTCACAAAGTCAAGAGTCTTTGAAACCAACTCCCAAACCAAATCCATACTAATCGGAACAAATAATTTGAGAAATTATCACAGACATGAAAAGTGTCAAAGAAATCTTTATTTCTCTGAAATGTATAGTTTACTTTGACATACCTCATAAATTGTACAGACGAAGCTACACTTGTCATAATCACTGTCAGTTACACACAGAAAGCATACAGTTGTGTTCAAGCCTGGATAGCTCCACTTGTGGCTCATCACAGATGCAGGCATCGGGACATGACTGACCTCCACCAAGCTGTGCATGTACCTGCTGTCAAAGGATCACACCTCCCTGACCCAAGACCAACCCAGCTGTGCATGATGTCTTGTTCAAGGATGAGAATCCTATAGACCCCACCATTCAAACTACCTTCACTGTCAATACTTCTGATGACTTCAAATGGTTTTGTTTATAATATCTGTACCAGAAAACAAAGCAGGATAGCTCAGAAGGGGATTTTTCTTTTACATATTTTAATTCATATATTTGATAAATATGTCAAGTCGGCACAAAAAAATGAGGCATAATTCGGACCTAAAATTCTAAAACATAATTGCTCCCTCATCTCGGGATGAGGCAATTCAGTGCACAAACTATGTAGTCATGGAGGTCTGAACCTCATCTCTGGGTCAAGCACCTCCTGTGCATCTGCCCTTGACTAAAACAAGTATGTCCTTTCCCAGTCAGAGTATTAACCCATTACATGTTACGACTGGTGTCAGTCTCTACAAGTGATGGTCAGCGGAGCTTGTTCACAGCATACAATATTTGTCACAAAACATCTCATTGATAAAAGTGATTATGTTCCAAGCAGAGGATTCTACATGACAATGTCAGTGTAATGGGACAGCCACAGGAAGCTAGTGAAGCAAGCATCAGGTGCTGGTGGGCTAATACTGGAACACTAAAGCATAAAGAACACTTCTTGAAGCGGCATTTACAACTATCTCCCTCGTTCATACAGGACACAGTGATCACTACATTAAACCTGCAATCCAGGCAGTGGGGTAAATTCAAGCTTTTTGAACAAAGGCTGTTGGTTGTGAAAGGTGACACTGGTTCTGACTGCAGTATGACTGCTTCACGTGTGATCTGGACAAGGTGGCTACGCGAATTATGAGTCTGAAGCATGATATCCACTACCACAATATAAAAAACACAGGCACATTACGAACTACACTTATCAAGCATAATGATTGTACACTGCTGAAGCACTAGCAGAGAAGTGGACCAAATCTTGGCTGTAAGATGTTAGGGAAACAGGATTACAGGACACAGGATGGGCCAAGTATCTGACACTACATGAAAATACCATTCACCATCTACAGCACTACAGGAACACAAACGAACTGGTCACTCGCTTGACCAAATTTCCCAAATGACAGACAAGAAGTCAGTTCGTAAAATCTTCCCAGTAATGAGAATAAAACCTTTTTTCTACTACTAAAAGATCGCAGAGTGAAGGGGGTCACTAAAGAGCTGTCTGCCATGTAGATATAAACAATGATGAGAATACTGTACAGAGAGGCCATAAATCATATATAGCATGTTCAACTTGTCCATCTTACATCAGATTTGTTTACCTCCATTTCAAAGGAGGTAAATCTTGTCAGCAAGACCAGTCTATGAAGGCAGCATTGATAGGATAGCTGGGGTGTATCGATACAGAGATATAGCATGACAATATATACTGCAACATTGGGGGCCTGATACGATACAAAATACCCAAACTGTTATGTAATACACATCAGGAATCTTTTCAGTAAATTTTAGAACATGTTATGTATCAACTGCACCATGACAAAACCCTTGTGCCACGTTACGGCAACTCGTATTGGGGACAATGCTGTATCGAAACATCCCTGCTGACAACTATGTACAATGGTGAGCAGATTATATCAACACTGCAGGACTAACCACTCCGTGTAGTAATCACAGACTCGGACAAACAACACCAGAAAATAAACTTGCTTGAAGGAGTTACCTCCCTTTGGATACAAGCCGAACAAGAATTGGAACTTGTTTTCTGAGGTCGTTTGTCGTAAGAATTTTGCTCTCAATATGACAGCGACTGGTCCACCTAAATGTCAAAGCTATGACAAGTTTAGTAAGGAATAAAATAGAACATATATATATTTAATGACACTGTTAGAAGCAACCATCCTGCTGTTATGACATAAACTGTTATAACAAGGCTATACTTCCCATAACCTGCAGACTGCTGAGAACTGCAAGTCACGATATATCAATTTGAATTCTAATTTGCTATCTTTTCAAAACAATATTTAGAATGGAATCTCCAGATCACAAACAAAATGTCTTTTCCCAATGTTAAGGAACTTCTCAGCAGTCTTCAGGTTGTCAAGATTCCCCTGTTTTGTTATATCACAACCACCATCAATCTTAACATCAATATACAAGGTATCTGTCTAATAACAATGTCTATATAACAGGGAATCTCTGCAGCCGACCTTAACCCTGAGTTAACCTTGACCTGGAAGATCAAGGTCATATCTTCATATTTAGGTTCGTGATATCAATCTTTAATTTTCATCCCAAAGACAAACTATGTATTAAAAATATCTATTATTTGACATTTATTAAAATGAAGGGAGCTGTAATCACTTCGTTTCGAAACATCCACCTGGGATGTGTTTAGCTTTTCAGGAACTGAAGACATCAATGAAGCAACATGTATCATTCCCACCCCCTGCATAAACTCTTGTGAGCATCGTTCCGCTATCAGACTGTCCCGCCCCTGGTGAGGAATACACGTCACTCGTCACACGTCACTCATTCAGTCTCATACGTGGAGGGTGGAGAGCAAACGCTATGCTTTCATTTATTATAACAAGAATTATTCAAGAAATGACAGCAAATGAAAATCATCTTTGGTAAAATAAACTAAAGTGTCCCATTACAACAATTTCCAAAGAAAATAGCCACAAGATATCTTTTTACTTTGATTAGACAATAATGCTTAAAACTGTGGCGCAAATATATTTATAAGTAATTTAAATAAGGTAAAAAATTGAACAAGAAAAATATGAAAATTCTGTTTTCATGACAACTATCACATACAATTGAAGAAACACTTTTGCAAAGAAGAGCCCATTGAAATGTGTAGGGAGGACATTCCCTTGTGCTGTTAACAGAGAGAGGGTTAACAGACCATCACACAGACAGGACATGGCAAGATTTGTCACAGTTACTCCCCTCAGTAGATATTAACCCTTCCACTGACAAATACATACTTAGAAATGGCAAAACTGTCTGCGCATGATCTGATGAGAATCAAACCAAACTATGGTTCTTTATATTGTAAGAAACCAATTTATAGACAGCTCATACTACCCTTAAAGGTGCAAAAGTTCACATAAAAACACAAATAAATTTCCCCAAATCTTATACATTCGTGTGCAGATGACTGTTCACATGTGACACAGATCCCTTGCACCGTGAATACTGGTAGATCCTCCATTGTGTTCCTATTTGTCTCTGTGTGAGTGAGTGAGGGTGGTTCATGCCTTGATGCTGTTGTGAGCACGGCCGCTGCTGCCACCGCCGTACTCCAGCTGCTGCACGCCGTTCACCATGCGGGACTTGAGGACCCCATCCTCCTCTACCAACACCGTCTCCTGTCCATTCTCAACAACTCTGGAACAGGGAATGAACAAATTATTGTTATTTTAGGCCACAGTCAGCAATAAACAACTGTAACACGTTGACTGTAAACAATCTAATCTAAACCAAAATTTGATTCTTTTGTTACCCACTACCACAAGCATTGGGTACTGGGAACCTTTCAGACCTGGAATCCCCATGTGGAGCGAAGCATGGGGTGCCGTAGACCTATTGTGCCCTGAAATCCCCATGGGATACTGGGAACCTTTCAGACCTGGAATTCCCATGTGGAGCGAAGCATGGGGTGCCGTAGACCTATTGTGCCCTGAAATCCCCATGGGATACTGGGAACCTTTCAGACCTGGAATTCCCATGTGGAGCGAAGCATGGGGTGCCGTAGACCTATTGTGCCCTGAAATCCCCATGGGATACTGGGAACCTATTCTGACCTGGAATCCCTAATGGAAGACAAGAATGGGTTGCTGGTAGAGGAATAACGATACTATGGGTTCTAAACAATACATATCCAGATACGGTACCTTAATTTCATGAATTGTATTCTTCCTTTTTTATGGTGAATCACAAGCGTGAATCATTTTGTTTTAAATTTCAGAGACTGGGCAGAAACACATAGACTAGAGGGCACAATAAACCTTATGATATTTATAGCCAGCCAGGAAATGCTGCTGAGACAGGCAGGGTAACAACAAGTACCACCCTTAAGTGTCTTTCTGTCTGACCTGGCCAGGGGATCGAACCACCGACATTCCGATCTCCAGAGAGATGCTCTCTCCACTAGACCACGGAGTGAGTGAGTGAGTGAGTTGGGTTTAACGCTGCTTTTAACAGTATTCCAATTATATCACGGCATGTCAGCTAAATGTGGGAGAAAAGCTCGAAGTGATGCAGGTCTCAGACGTTTACAACTTCGGTGAAACCCACGAGCACGGGTATGGTCCTGACAAACCAAGAAACATAATCGGGGCGAACCGGGATTTGAACCCACAATCATAGGTTTCTGGCGTGTCCAGGGGACGCAACTCTGCACAGCGAATTGCGGCGCCTTAGACGACTGGGCCAACCGTGCCCCCACTAGACCACGGAGGTGGCCATTCCTAAGTGGAAGGATGGGTAGATACATAACACAAGTTTCAATGAAACTATGTTAAATCAAAATATACAGCACTTACTTCTTCGTGACAATTTTCTTGCCGTTGATGTATTTGGTAGAGGTGGAAGTAGAGCGAAAGTGTCCGGCTCCCGTGGTGGGGCCGCTAAAACTCGTACTAGAGAACTGAGAGAACCTGCAATACAAACACTCTTGTATTACACACTGTTACAATACCGTCATAGCAAGTGTACCACACAGTGACATCACATGAATATAACATGTGACAGTCATAACAACATACCGGTCATAACAGCATTATAGCATGTCTACCAGTGTTATAACATGTATATCACATACTGTTATAACACATATACAACATGTCCTAAAATTCTACAGCCATGTAAACAGCAGGTTCTATGACAGTTGTAAATCTATGTGAAAGAGCAAAGACAAGTCAATAGTATTTTTGATAAGATGAAATATAGGGGTTGTCACAGTCATTGGTCCATGCTAAAGCAAGGAATCATCAGTCTGTGTTTAAGCATGGAGTTGAATATCTTCAGTCAATGCCAAGAGATACAAGCTATGACAATCGTTAGTCAATACTGAAAAACGGCAGTTATGACAGTAGCATGTCTGTTAAGGCATACGAGCAGTCTGTACCAAAAACGTTTGAGTCTCCATGGTAGATTTAGGGTTAAATATTTTGATTTTATTAGCTAAGCTTACATGGCCAAATGGAATTTGACTAGACTAGGGCTATTGACTTCTCACAGACTGTACAAGGTACATATAACCGTTGAAAGTCTGTAAAGATATACACAGTGTATATCTAAATAAGTCTATTCTAAGAAAAACCCTTCAGCAGTAAGTGATGACAGTTGTATGTAATATTCAAAAACTGAAATATGACAAAATATGCAAAGTCTTTAACGCAAGTCTTTAAGAAATACAAAGGTCACCGTATTTGCCATATCAAGCACGCCTCTCTACTGCTTCCTCACCAACTTCTAGACCACTAAGTCAAAAGTTACATGACTATCCATATTTTCTTGTGCATATTACAGATCTTCTACAGGATTCGCAGCAGTGTAGAATACAGTAAATATAATTGCCTAGTAACTATTATCTAAATCACTTATGTTTCATCGCCATTTGAACTAAGTCTGTTGTCTACTGCTCGCTCTCTGACAAGTTCAACTTGTGTATTGTTTTAAAAAGTGCACTCCTTCATGAATTTTCTGAGTGCCAGGGGTGCTTTTTACAGCGAATATGGTACATACAACTGTCATAGGTCTATACTGGAGAACAGCAGTTATCACAGCGGTAAGTCATTCAAATATTAACCTGATGGTTTTATCTGTATGTACTCAAACATAGGACTCCTGACTACGGAATGTCTCAGTTAATTCAAGGGTGATGATGTGATCAATACAAGGGTCACATTGATTGTTTGTTTGTTTGTTTGCTTGGTTGTTGTTTAATGCAGAACTCAGCAATATTCCAGCTAAATGACAACGGTCTGTAAATAATCAAATCTGGACCAGACAATCCAGTGATTGATCTATGCTATTGGGGTCGATGACATGCATCAACCAAGTCAGCGAGCCTGACCACCCAATCCCGTTAATCGCCTCTTACGACAAGCATATTCGCCTTTTATGGCAAGCATGGCTTGCTGAAGACCTATTCTACCCCGGATCTTCACAGGTCGTTCACCTTGATAACAATGCTTTAAAGCAATACAGCCCCTGACAAATACAAGACCATGGTCTTATTCAACTGAAGGAAGAAGCATGATATAAAGATCAACAACAGTATGAAGCTGTTCTGTTGGGGATTGGTCAAACTGTACAGGAGCTGGTGCTATGGTCTCTAACTACAAACAAACAAACCAGGCAACAGAACGATTCCAGTTTCAAAACAAACAGAGCAAAAATCAGTAAATAGCAATACAAACAAAACAATTCTAAGAATCATGTTAGTGAACAAAACAAAATCAATTTAATCAAAATGAAAGAACATGTTATTAAAGATGCTTTTGAACACAATGCGTGAGTGAGTGGGTTGGGTTAAACGCCGCTTTTAACAGTATTCCAGTTATATTCCGGCGTGTCAGCTGAAATGTGTGAGGAAAGCCCGAGGTGATGCAGGTCTGAGACATTTACCACTTCGGTAAAACCAACGAGTACGGGTATGGTGCTGACAAACCTAGAAACATAATCGTGGTGAACCGGGATTCGAACCCACAATCATAGGTTTCTGGCATGCCCAAGGGACGCAACTCTGCACAGAAAATCGCAGCGCCTTTGACGACTGGGCCCCACGTGCCCCCTGAACACAATCAGGCGCTGTGAGCTTCAGCAACATCCTCTCTAGGAAAGGGGCATTGTTACAGGAGCCACGGACAGCGATAATGTCATCATCCAAGGGAGAGAACTGGCAATGTGCAAAATGTTGCACTCTTACAGGAACTAAATCTCACCATGGCAACAAGATATTCCCCTTGTTATTGAAGGAAACATGAGATGGAAGGGGAATATGGCATGTATGCAACAGTTACATGTCACAATGTGGTACAACAATTACGTCACACACAGTAACACCAGGAACAGGCCTAGAAATGAAACAGTCTAAGATGTGCCCAGAAAGATAGGAATGTGAATAACATAACAAAACATTTCTATATTTTTTAACACATCTTAAATATTTCCTTGGTAGGCCTGGGAAAGGGTGGGGGTTTATGAGACAAAGGATCAGAGTGCCGTTGTACAAAACAACCTTGGTGCTACGACTGTCATAAGTCTATGTTAAGGTACGGGGGTTACAATCACCTTAGCGCTAGGATTGCATTGTACAACTGCATCCTGAATGCTACAAGACTCATATTTACTGGACCCTAAGATATACTTGTACCACACAGGGCGGAGAAATAACATATCCACTCTGTACACATGACATTGAACATAAGGAATTCAGCAATATTGTCCTTGTCAAGTAAAATATTCCTGAGAAAATGTAATCAGATTTCCAAATGTCTATCTTGATAGAGGATGTTGTGCACTACTGATCTTATTCCCAGTTGACGGGTATCACAAAACCATGACTTAAATACCAAATCAAATCGAAGGGATACAGTAATATCAAATCTTTGTCTTTGATGAACTCAGTTGAAAATCTAATGCAACATCTCAATCGCCTACAGACATAAATGGTGCTTTGTCTAGTGGTAGTGATAGTACCGAGAGCTCCGCAAATGGCTATTGCTGCGAGGAGCTTTGGTCAAAAGTCACTGCCCTTTGAAGTGATGGAAGGACATCCGTGAACAGTTTCGACAGAGGCCACGCGTGAAGTGAGAAGCAAGACATGTTCACCTAAGACTACTGTTCTAAGACTACTGGAACGGACTCAGCTTTCCCATGGCAACCCATCATGTGTCACTGATAGAGCAGTAATGATACACCGATGATGGTAACATTGGGATGTTACATAAAATCGTTTCAGGAGAAGGACAGAGTTCATAAAAAAATGATTGTATGAGTACCCAAACAAAGCATATTTGATTCGATTAAAACAGTAACCTGCAAACTCTTGCACATACCATCATTTTGTGTGTGTTTATTTTCATAACACTTTTCATGAGCTCCATACATAATCTTTAATCGACATGTGACCTCACGATACAATACTCACATTGTGTCAAAACATATAACAAGGAACCCACACTTGGTGAATCATTACAGCCCTAATTAACCAAGATTCTTTCATGCCAAAGATGGCTATTTGAAATGTGGTTAACAAATGACATTTCGCCAAAGGCTAAACAGCTTACAGATGTTTAATGAGTGCGACCAGGATGAAACATGTATGACAGATGACGGGATGCAAGGTAACTGGTACAAGGTGCATATCAAATATGCAAGGTGACAAATAATGTGGACATCACAGGTACTGAGCATCTAAGGTGAAGAAATGCGGTACAGAATAGCACAGACTTTCACACAAGACCACATGGGCAATGAGTCTCACGATACCAGTTCTACCAGACACTTGGTTCAACCATAAAAAGCAATAAAGAAATAAACAAAATTAATACTTCCATATTTAGATTTGACATAACTCCCCAATAACTGTCAAGAGACTATAAAACTATGTACATGTCATAAACATTTTCAATCACAGGATTGTAAGGAGATTTAGCCATGCTTAACCTCTATGGTTAGCACTATTCTTCTTTTACTGGATTATTGAAGTTTTTTGTAACTGCCACATAAAGCCATAAGAAAATATCATTAGATTGCCATCCTCATCTACACTTACTTTTTGTTTATTTTGTTTGTTTGTTTTTAAACGCCGCACTCAGCAATATTCCAGCTATATGACGGCGGTCTGTAAATAATCGAGTCTGGGCCAGACAATCCAGTGATTGACATCATGAGCATCGATCTACGCAATTGGGATCAATGACATGTATCAACCAAGTCAGCAAGCCTGACCACCCAATCCCGTTAGTCGCCTTTTACGACAAGCATAGTTGCCTTTTACAGCAAGTATGGGTTGCTGAAGACCTATTCTACCCCGGAATCTTCACGGGTCTGCACTTACAACCAAAGTCCCCGCCTCACATCATTTTGTGGTCTCCAAAAGTACCTACAGGTGTAGAAAATTCTGACGTAGCCTAATTCTGACTCGATTATATACACTATACAAATTTATGGTCAACCATTCATGCTTCATGCAAATTACATATGGCAACACTTAATGTACGCAGAGAAAAAAATTAATAAAATTCCTCCTGCCTCAAAGTTTTGACAAATGAGGATGAGAATCTAATAATATACAGTGGCCTACTCTAAGTTGGACACAGCTAAAGCGAAGATCATTCGCGGTAACACAGAAACAGGGAGACAACAGGAGGTTCGACTGACTATACATGCGATGAGACGCCATGCTTCAATCTATACGGAGGAGGAATTACCCTGGCGAGGCCGAAAGTCCGAAGAAAGGGTCATCAAAGATGGAGGAGAAGCCAAACCCAGTGTGTATGCGGGGCACGAAGCCCCTCACGGGGTGGCTGTAGCTGGTGGGTTGCATGCGCTGCTGCATACGCTCCTGGCGCCGTCCCCCGGGCTGGTCACCGCGGCGACGACGGTGTGGCCGCCACATACTGAAACATGTCCGCTTGATGACAAGGGAGACAACTCTATCCTGACATCCTTTGGTGAAGTCCTTAGTTCCCAGAGAGAGGCTTGTGCCTCCATCAACCAATGAGATTGGTCACATAGTACATGTCGTATCTAACTAGGTTCTGACTCAAACAGGGGGCAGCACATTGGCTCAAAGTTCTTAAAATTAGAGTATATAGACCTATAAAAAGTTAAAGAAAAAATTACCAAACAAATTATTTCATCAAGAATTATGAACTTGTAAAATTCAGAGACATTGTGAACTTGTAATAATGCAAAATAACATTAATGATGTTTATTACATTTATATATTTTTCAGTTTTTCGTAAATTTTAATATGTTTCATTCATGACATTTAATTACAAAAATGATTCCAAACGAATTGCCATATCCCCCTGATGAGTCAGAGAGGGCCATGCAGGTATGACAGCCCGGACACAATAGTTGCTACCGAGTCTCACCTCGCTCCACATCGACACATTGTACACACAAACACAAACTGCACAGTTACTTCACATGGCTCAAGTCCTCAACGTTATCCTTTAAATCAATGCATACCATACTTTCAAATAAGACATTTAAAGGTTTCGATAATATTCGGCTGATGCTTACATTAACCTTTCAAAATACCTTAATCAGTAGGATAAAAACTCTTACGGCTAGAAGTGTATGTTATACCTTGAGCCCCTTATTGAAATTACATACGCCTAAAATTATACGGATTTAACATAAAATCAAAGTCATTCCAAATTATTTGTGAAAACTGCAGCACACACACATTGACTTCTTATTGCTATTCTTTTGCTCTAACATGCTTCTGGTACTGATAGCTTGACTGAAATGAATGCAAAATGTCAATAGTAAGCATGTAGCAAGATTAGAAGCATGTGCAGCAATGGGTGTCGTGAAGACTATACCAAGAGTAATTCTTCCTTCATTTAGAAGAAATGTGCTCAGTCTAGTTTACCATGGTTACACAAGCAAGGCTAACTAGGCTTCAACTACCCTCCGTATCTGCCTTGTGATGCAGTGGAAGACTGGAGCATCTCGGGGGTGGAATACAACTGACACAGACACCCTCAACTAGAGAATTATTGCTATACACCCCCCTGGTATATCCCTTCTGTCGACTTGAGGGGTCAGTATACACACATATGTTACAATCATCACTCTAATAACCTCCTTACCCAGGGCAATTGATGAAGTGAAACGACCCATAACGCCCTGGTTTAGGGACTAACATTTAGGAAGATGGTATATATACAGTGTGAATCTTACATCAAAAACACATATAACAGCATCATAATAGTTAATGTCAAAGATTCAAATCAGCAAGGACGAACAAAATGATCTTAGATGCTCAGCTTTGACAAAACAACACTGCAAGATTAAATGCTGATTGAGTATTGCAAAAACCAACAGGACATGCAAAGAAAAATCTCAACACTACTGTGATGACAACTAAACAAATGCCATGCCATGCATGATACATGTACAGAAGAAATACGAACCAAAACAAATAAAACAGCTGAAGTGCAGTTGGACCAATCACCAATCAGAACAATATCACAACACAGAACCATAGTCAAATATAGAGTAGTAATATTAGTGTGTGGTGGATAAATCTTGTGACTGTCATATTTACTCTTGAGGATGATGATGAAGATGATATGTATCAAATACAGACTTGGGAAAAACACTGACATAAATACAGGTATGTGTCAGCAAATCAAAATAATTACTTGCTCATATCCTCATAACAAAATCCTTGGAAAATATTTACTTTAATCTTTCTGACGAAAGATTTTATCAATGAATATTACAGATGTAAGTATTAATAGAGGTATTACTCATCGAGTATTATTCTAGTTTTGATTCAAAAGGTACACTGTAGACCCATATATTCCTGGTAGCAAGAGTGTACACTGTGCATCACAATACATATAGAGCCTGTACCGGGTACATCCAGTCATAAATCATGTTCAAGGACAGAAGAGAGACAGAAAATACAACCCAGAGTGTCCCCAACATAGCGGCAGCTATACAGTATATGCCCTACATCCTATATACCACAGTAGAAAGGAAACACCAACAGAGAAAAGACTACAGAACAAGATTATAAAGCCCTAGGAACATAGAATGGCATCAAAGAAAAATACTAATACAAAAATCATGACAAAAATCATGACAATAATTCAAAACAAAAATACTAAAGTATTAACATAAAAAAAACAAATAAAAATAATACTGTATTATTGATAATATAGTACTAGAAATGTTTTTTATTCAAAGAATTCTACAAAAAATCTATTAGAAACAAAATTAGATTAGAAGGAATGCTAAAGAAAAGTCAAAGAATTCTTCAGAAACTCTATAAAAAAAAAAAATTCTATAAGGGACCCTTTTCTTGAAGGATCCATGAAAAAACTACTGAAGTGTAGAGGAGACTAAAGCCTAGGAACTGTTGCCCTGACTACCCAGCCCTGACTACCCAGCCCTGCCCTAGACACTACAGCTTGTACAGAAGCAGATACACTACAGCCAACCATGCAATCCTACAGTAAACTCCACTGAGTCGGAGTAATGAAAATGTGATGATAACAAACTGTGGATACTCACTACAGGACGTACGTATTACACTGGTGGCGTTATGAATGTTAAACTCCAATTTTCAGAAAGTAGTTTTGATTGATCAGATTCCAGAACAGATTCTATTCTATGGAAATATTTTTCAATATGAAAATGCTATCTAATGGTGAGAAAAGCCTGAGCTGCCTTCTGTTAATGTTTTCAAGATAAACTACATCGAACCTTGATAGTTGCAGGTTAAACTAACTGTTCTGGAAACAGATAATGGACAGCAGAACATGAACGCCAGTGTCAAAGCCTGCCTTGTTAAGTATCCACAGTCAGGGCTCAATGACAGCCAGATACTCCCTGTCAATTTGTCGTCTACTGCAGCATTCAAAGGGAGGTAACTGTACTTACCCAGAAGATGCGAATGGATCAGAGTCGAAGAATGAGGAAGAAAATACACTAGAACCCCCTGGGAAGCCTGTAAAAGAATTTTCGAACATCGAGCCATTGAAGTCTCCATTGCTTCCACCTACAACAACAAAATATACCCATGTCAGTCAGCTGACCTTTGACCCATGTCACACTTCCCTTCATCCCCAATACCAGCAGCTAAAGCCATACGTCCATCTGAACCTCTTTTGATATACTACTCAAAAGAAGTTAAGGAACGCTCTATTCTTTCATATTACTATAGTTAATCTGTCATACCATGAAGCATGACGGAGAACAGTCATATGAAAGAATCAAATGTTTATTAACTTTACTACTTACCCAAAGGTAATTATTGCTTGTACTTATCTCTTATAAAAGGCTTCATCTTATTCCATATATGAGTTTGGAATCTGTAAATGATAAATTTTGAAACACGAAGCTATCGTGGGTGACAGAGAGTGACTTAGGGCTGTTGCTGTCACAGGTGACAAGTGGAAATGTGGCAAGAAGGCCTGGGTGTTTCCGTGCCCCTTGTTGTGTGTAGGTGTATCACTATCAGTGCATCCCATGCACCACTTACCGTAGTACTTACTCAAAGCAAACAGCTCGGCTGGCATTCTGGTTATCACATCGGAATATTCCATTTGGTTGGCTGCATGATATACGTAACCCATACTAATGATCATATATCAACAACTGATGTTTCTTTCCATCTTTGTTGTTTAACGCCGCACTCAGCAATATTCCAGCTATATCACGGCGGCCTGTAAATAATCGAGTCTGGACCAGACAATCCAGTGAATGACATCGTGAGCATCGATCCACGCAATTGGTATACGATGACATGCATCAACCAGGTCAGCGAGGGAAACTGATGATGTAGCTGCAGCGGACATGAAAGTTCCAAGTCCTGAATCCCAAGTCTTCTGATCTGAGGGCAGATTCCAAGAGGGTGACAAGCAACACTGATCGGCATGATGACACTCAATCAGTTACGCCAAAGCAGACAGGACTTGGCAGCCATTGTGACTACCCAATCCTCATTTCAGACACGGCCTATGACAAGCAGGGGGCGTTCGGGACCTATTGTATCTGTGATCGCCTTGACTGTACCGAAAGGGCTCCCGATACTTACTAGGGTCATCGTCACAGGCATCAGAAGCTGAAACTTAGGGGTTATCAGGAAAACATGTTTACAACATCCTTAAGCCAGGGTACTGGCCATAGCCACTGGTAAATATTAGTCTGATTAGACTCAAGACAATCTGTAATATCAGATCAACCTCAAGACAATCTGCCATGTCTGCTCATGTGCTATGACTTACTTATTGTGTGTGAGTTCTTACCCCTGCCTCACCATTAACAAAAGAACACCTCATTCTCTTCAAGCTCTAATTACCATATAGTATAAGAATCTCTCCTCTGAGAAAGTGATCATTTAAAAGTGCTGTACTGGCACAATGGTGTTGCTTCTTTTGTAACAATTTTGTTTCGGATGAATTAACATGCAACAGCATTTCATCATGGTAATAGCTTCAGATACACATTCTGTAGAACTCCTGGTTCTTCAGGACCACATCCTGAAGCAGAACAGAGAGTTGTCATAGCACTGAATATAACGTGTGGCAACTGCCACGGAATATGTAAAATGGGCATACCAAAGAAGTTCCCGAATGGATCGTCTGTTCCGAAGAAGTCTCTGAAGACCTCCTCTGGGCTGCGGAACGTGAAGTGGAAACCAGCGTGGCTGAAGTCATTGAAGTCTTCATTTGTGTATGAGGGATTCGACAAGCCATCCTTGCCGTATAAGTTATACACTTCCCTCTTCTGTTCTGAAACACCAATATGAGAGTGAGTGAGTGAGTGAGTGAGTGAGTGAGTGAGTGAGTGAGGGTCAGTGGTTGCATCCAGTCTCCAAGTACAATGACATGAGCAGTTAGCTCGGCCACACCATTTAGCCATGCTGCAGTGACAGCCAGCATAAGACCACCAGTATACTGACGATGCTCATCTGCTATTTAACTGACATGGCTGCCATGGTCAGTATTTATTTTCAGATATCAGCTAATTCTAATGCTCTGGGCTTTGTTGGGGAGGTGGGGAGGGGGCAGCTTTTAATATGTTTGGCACTGGGTACCCTCAAACTATTTTTATCCCCTATTGGGAATCTACACACTACTGGTTACCCATTTACTGCTTGGTGTCCTTACAGGTACCCACTTTCTGCCTGGTGTCCTTACAGGTACCCACTTTTTGCCTGGTGTCCTAAAACATCCACTTACTGTCTGACAAAACTTCATATGCCTCAGAGATTTCTTTGAATTTTTTCTCGGCTTCATCCTTCTTGTCTGGGTTCTTGTCTGGATGCCATTTGAGCGCTAGTTTCCTGTACCTGCAACACAATACAGGAGCCTCTTTAACACTAGCCACACTATCTGTTACACAATACAGGAGTGTCATTGACACTAGACACACTATCTGTAACACAATACAGGAGAGTCATTAACACTAGACACACTATCTGCAACACAATACAGGAGCCTCTTTAACACTAGCCACACTATCTGTTACACAATACAGGAGTGTCATTGACACTAGACACACTATCTGTAACACAATACAGGAGAGTCATTAACACTAGACACACTATCTGTAACACAATACAGGAGAATCATTACCACTAGACACACTGATCTGTAACACAATACAGTAGGGCTGCAACGATACCGGAAGGTCACGATATGATATGCACGGGAATCACGCATGTTGAGACGCCCAACGCTAGCACCGTATTCGTGCGTGCGTGATTCCTGTGCACCCTTTCGAGTTGAGTTGATTGGTTCAACTGTGTCATATGGCCCTGTGACGCAGGGGTAGCATTATGCAGATGGCTGTTTCAATGAATGCTCGTTCTACCAGCGACGAATAGGTCGGGTTGTTGATGAAATATAGTGATAGCTAAATAGACAGATTTTTTATTCATGCACCGATTGTCTTTAAATGTAATATCCAGTTATGTATGACTGTTTAATAATCTCATACCAACTTCGACTGGAGTAGGTCCAATAGTTTTTCAGATATTGTAGTAAACGTCGGTACCTTAAATTACCTTCCAGACTATAGACACAGTGAAATGGGGCTTCTTGTCTTCAAGAATATAACACTTATAATACAGCGACTAAACGTGTGTGCATGCGCGAATACTTGTAATGTTCCACACTTATGCCGGTTTGATAGTGCTTAGCCCACTGAGACACTCTAACACTACGCTGACTCCGAGCCAACCACTCCTTCATCATCCTCTTACGTGGAGGTGGTCGTAATGATACAGATGAATGTCCTATCAAAAAGTGATAAAATCATGTCCTAATGCCGTTTGCTGCTAGCAAATCACTGCCACCCTGTGTGCATCTAATCAGTAGCTTTGATCATGATTATGACAACAATGGGGTGGGGGGACTACCTCAGAAACAGTTCAAAAAGACTGTGTCAATCATCATTTACAGAATGATGAACTGATGGATGACTAAATGGAAAGGATAGATGGCAAAATATAGATATACTAGAAAGGTTGTAATGTTTCACTGAAGCAACGAAGAACACAGCACACATAAACAACATGCTTCTGAAGCAGAATGTGTCCCATCGTTAATTTCTCCTCACATTCTCAGGTTGGCACATCTGATGGATGAACGTAGCTATAAATAGCTCCCTCATCAGACGAGAATAAACAGAGAATAAACGGGATAACATGACGAGGGAATAACTCATGGCTAGACTTACTACACATTTTCCTCTACACAGGGAGACAGCGTTAACACTGAAAATGACTTCTTCTCAAGTATTACAATTTCCTTTCAAATTCACAATAAGATTATCAAACGGTGTAGAACCAACAGTGCTGTTGATAGATATGAGACATCCATAAAAAAGATCCTAATTAAGGAGGAACAGTCAGCTGATGTAGCTAGGGTTACTGCCACATCAATCCAATAAAACAGCCTAATGGGAGTGGGGTGAACTATCACGACTCTTGGCACATCATTTTCAGATTACATCGTAAATCACACACTCTTTCAAACTCATGAAATCCACTTGGAGAAACTCCATTGAAGATTCAAAATTCATCTTAATTTTATGGATTGTAACATTTTATAATATCAGTGAGATCAGTGAGAAGATAAAGGTTAAGCAGGGCCAATTAATGGCCAACTGATCCTGACCCTCTTCCCACAGAGACCAATTTGTGTTGGAGTGAAGCCTAGCTGGGCTTCCTGCAGCAGCATGTGGAACTTATTAATAACTCCTGACACATGGTCCTCACCAGGGGTACGTACTACAGTTAACCTACAGACTCACCTGTTGGGGCCGCTTGGGAGGGGGGCAGGGAGAAGTGAGACGGTGAGGGGAGGGAGTAGTGGCCGACTGAGATTGAAAGGTGTTAGTGGTGAGGGGCGTTTCTGGCTAAATAAAGGGGGTGTCTGGAAAGGATAAGGTGAAGGTAAGGGGTGTCAGCCTAGGGTAAGGGTGTGTCAGCCTAGGGTAAGGGGTGTGTCAGGCTAGGGTAAGGGGTGTGACAGCCTAGGGTAAGGGGTGTCAGGCTAGGGTAAGGGGTGTGTCAGGCTAGGGTAAGGGGTGTGTCAGGCTAGGGTAAGGGGTGTCAGCCTAGGGTAAGGGGTGTCAGCCTTGGGTAAGGGGTGTGTCAGCCTAGGGTAAGGGGTGTCAGGCTAGGGTAAGGGGTGTGTCAGGCTAGGGTAAGGGGTGTGCTAGGTAGGGTAAGGGGTGTCAAGCTAGGGTAAGGGGTGTGTCAGCCAAGGGTAAGGGGTGTGTCAGCCAAGGGTAAGGGGTGTGTCAGGCTAGGATAAGGGGTGTGTCAGGCTAGTTTCAGGGGTGTGAAGCTAAGGTAAGGGGTGTCAGCCTAGGGTAAGGGGTGTGTCAAGCAAGGATAAGGGGTGTGTCAGGCTTGGGTAAGGGCTGTCACACTAGGGTAAGGGGTGTGTCAGCCAAGGGTAAGGGGTGTGTCAGCCAAGGGTAAGGGGTGTGTCAGGCTAGGGTAAGGGGTGTGAAGCTAAGGTAAGGGGTGTGTCAGCCTAGGGTAAGGGGTGTCAGCCTAGGGTAAGGGGTGTGTCAGCCAAGGGTAAGGGGTGTCAGCCTAGGGTAAGGGGTGTGTCAAGGAAGGACAAGGGGTGTGTCAGGCTTGGGTAAGGGCTGTCACGCTAGGGTAAGGGGTGTGTCAGCCAAGGGTAAGGGGTGTGTCAGCCAAGGGTAAGGGGTGTGTCAGGCTAGGGTAAGGGGTGTGAAGCTAAGGTAAGGGGTGTGTCAGCCTAGGGTAAGGGGTGTCAGCCTAGGGTAAGGGGTGTGTCAGCCAAGGGTAAGGGGTGGCAGCCTAGGGTAATGGGTGTGTCAAGCAAGGATAAGGGGTGTGTCAGGCTTGGGCTTGGGTAAGGGCTGTCACGCTAGGGTAAGGGGTGTGTCAGCCAAGGGTAAGGGGTGTGTCAGCCAAGAGGGTAAGGGGTGTGTCAGCCAAGAGGGTAAGGGGTGTGTCAGCCAAGAGGGTAAAGGGTGTGTCAGCCAAGAGGGTAAGGGGTGTGTCAGGCTTGGGTAAGGGGTGTCACACTAGGGTAAGGGGTGTCAGCAAAGGGTAAGGTGTGTGTCAGCCTAGGGTAAGGGGTGTGTCAGCCTAGGGTAAGGGGTGTCAGCCTAGGGTAAGGGGTGTCAGCCTAGGGTAAGGGGTGTGTCAAGCAAGGATAAGGGGTGTGTCAGGCTTGGGTAAGGGCTGTCACGCTAAGGTAAGGGGTGTGTCAGCCAAGGGTAAGGGATGTCAGGCTAGGGTAACGGGTGTCAGCTTCAGGTACAGGATGTGTCAAGCAAGGATAAGGGGTGTGTCAGGCTTGGGCTTGGGTAAGGGCTGTCACGCTAGGGTAAGGGGTGTGTCAGCCAAGGGTAAGGGGTGTGTCAGCCAAGAGGGTAAGGGGTGTGTCAGCCAAGAGGGTAAGGGGTGTGTCAGCCAAGAGGGTAAAGGGTGTGTCAGCCAAGAGGGTAAGGGGTGTGTCAGGCTTGGGTAAGGGGTGTCACACTAGGGTAAGGGGTGTCAGCAAAGGGTAAGGTGTGTGTCAGCCTAGGGTAAGGGGTGTGTCAGCCTAGGGTAAGGGGTGTCAGCCTAGGGTAAGGGGTGTCAGCCTAGGGTAAGGGGTGTGTCAAGCAAGGATAAGGGGTGTGTCAGGCTTGGGTAAGGGCTGTCACGCTAAGGTAAGGGGTGTGTCAGCCAAGGGTAAGGGATGTCAGGCTAGGGTAACGGGTGTCAGGCTAGGGTAATGGGTGTCAGGCTAGGGTAACGGGTGTCAGCTTCAGGTACAGGATGTGTCCGGCTAAGGTGTGTATTATGGCTATATTTGGCAAGGGTAAGCAGTCAAAATGTGTGTCAGGTGTGTACAAAATCCAAAAACCTCCTATACCACCTTGCTGAAGTGGTTCCCCCTAACTTCTACTCCATTCAAAAAAGGTTCTCTTATGAGGGCCATTAGGTACGATTACAGCAGCCAAATGGAAGCTGAGACTAGATGTTATGACTCAACCACTTGATGCGTGTACAAACAGCTCCAGTTCTGGCGGGCCCTGAGAGACACCAACAACTTCAGCCATCATGTGGTGAGGTGTATTTCTGGCCTCGTCTACCAAGGAGTTCAGCACGAGCAGGGGGGAGGCGCATGATACTTTTGTTTCTGTTCACCAAAGTGGAGGCATGTTTCGGTCTTTGAGAAAGCAATGATCCATGACTGAGGTATTTAGTGTTGCAACATAATCAGACACTCCTAGTTCATGTAGTTCCCTGCAGCTGTGTTGGTCATGAATAACAAGCACTACTGTACCACTTTTTCTTAAACAGTGCACACAGCTGAACCGATAGATGAAAGTTTGAAACCAAAATAATTCTCCATACTTCATGAAATCATTTTGGGGATGAATCACATATAATGAATTTCCTAATCACGCAAACTCAATATTGACCACAGACTAATTCACAGGACGACAATGCAACAGGCCCTGAAGGCTCACCTTGTCATCGAAGATAATGGACAGATCTGCTAAAGATAACCAAAACAGAATATTCATCAAGAAACAGGGGCAGTTTGACATTCAATGAATGTAATATCTAAGGATTTCTTCGTCTAGAATGAGTGTGCTTTGTGTTGATTCGCAAAAGCCCCCGTTTCAGCCATTCTTGATATATGACTTGTCATGCAATCACAAACATGGTTGTAATATTTCTCATAATAAGAAATACTTTCTCATAAGAAAACAAAATATAGAAAAGTCAATGGACGTGGGCTTATACCATGTATGTGGGTTATAGCAGTCTGTATGCTTATACCACGTATGTGGGTTATAGCAGTCTGTATGCTTATACCATGTATGTGGGTTATAGCAGTCTGTAGGCTTATACCATGTATGTGGGTTACAGCAGTCCGTGGGCTTATAATCTAGTATGTGGTTACAATAGTCTGTATGCTTATACCATGTATGTGGGTTATAGCAGTCTGTATGCTTATACCATGTATGTGGGTTACAGCAGTCTGTGGGCTTATACCATGTATGTGGGTTACAGCAGTCTGTGGGCTTATCAGTTATGCCATGCATGTGGGTTACAGCAGTCTGGGGGCTTATCAGTTATGCCATGCATGTGGGTTACAGCAGTCTGTAGGCTTATACCATGTATGTGGGTTACAGCAGTTTGTGGGCTTTTAATCTAGTATGTGGTTACAACAGTCTGTAGGCTTATACCATGTATGTGGGTTATAGCAGTCTGTAGGCTTATACCATGTATGTGGGTTACAGCAGTCTGTGGGCTTATAATCTAGTATGTGGTTACAACAGTCTGTATGCTTATACCATGTATGTGGGTTACAGCAGTCTGTGGGCTTATACCATGTATGTGGGTTACAGCAGTCTGTGGGCTTATCAGTTATGCCATGCATGTGGGTTACAGCAGTCTGGGGGCTTATCAGTTATGCCATGCATGTGGGTTACAGCAGTCTGTAGGCTTATACCATGTATGTGGGTTACAGCAGTCTGTAGGCTTATACCATGTATGTGGGTTACAGCAGTCTGGGGGCTTATAATCTAGTATGTGGTTACAACAGTCTGTATGCTTATACCATGTATGTGGGTCACACCAGTCTGTAGGCTTATTCCATGTATGTGGGTTACAGCAGTCTGTAGGCTTATAATCTAGTATGTGGGCTACAGCAGTCTGTTGGCTTATTCCTTGTATGTGGGCTACAGCAGTCTGTTGGCTTATTCCTTGTATTTGGGTTACAGCAGTCTGGGGGCTTATACCATGCATGTGGTTTACAGTGGCCTCAACTGGGTATAACCAACAGCCACAAATGTCAGCAAAGCAGTCACTTAATACCGTTGCCAGTACCTCTCAGTACAAATCAATTAATTCTGCAACTATTGTGCAGGGGGTTGACACAGTTTTGGAAGAGCGTGAGTGTTTGTTGTTACACACCACACTCAGCAATATTCCAGCTTCCTAGCGGCGACAGTATATAATCTTATCTTGACCTGACAATCCAGTGATTGATATTATCCATTATCCACTAGATCCATGCAGTCAGTGTACCTTGACATTCCCTAACCCAGGTCATCCAGTCAGACTAATCCATTAGTTTCATCATTGTTTGACTACGAGGTGTACGTGGTCTGCTCCCACAAGTGTAAACACATCCCATACATCCATGAAAACTGACAACCTGTTGCATAATTACAATACAGATCTGCAATATCCGCTTCAGCATTCAACAAAATCTGACAGCATTCAACCTCCTGATATCACAAGGGTTCAGCTTCAGAAAATATTCCCCATACTCAGAGAAAGTTTAATAAAATTAGGATATGGTGATAAAAGTCTATTAGGGCTGTTACGATTCACTCGCGTATTCGGAGAATCGAACTGTATCCATTCATGAACTGAATTTGTTATTCGTGGTCACTAGAATCGAATATTTACGAGTATGCAGTCATGTGCATCTACATACCCTGTACCTAAAAATATCCATAAGATCATATTATATGCAGAGATTTCTTTAAAGACAACACTCATTTATATAATTTGACAGTATTGTGGTCACCTGTCATTATATGTATTTGAGCAGATACTAGTACCTGGATAAATGCAGTATATAAATGTATAATATATTACTAATTATCCAACCATGTCAAATAATTTATGTTGTTATTTTTCACTGAATATAATAAATTATACATCAACTGCCGACTCGTTATTGTATTCGTGAATAAATATTCGTATTCGTTTCCCTATATTCGTGATATGAATCGTATTTGCCTCATAGTGTATTCGTTGCAGCCCTACAGTCTATGATGTAATCCACTAGTCCGAAGCCTGAGTCAAGTAAAATGCCGTTTGGTCTAGTAGCAGAGCTGATGATGGAGATAGTAACACTAAACTATTCCTAATTGCATACATGGACCAACACTTCTTTACACTGACGCATGCTCTGTTATAAAAAATATGATTTTCTTTATGTCTATGGCTAACATGAAAAGGCCAGCACCCAAACCACTGGCCTACCCCAGTGTTCTAAACCTGGCTTGGGTTCAGAGTTCTACTTACGCTTTTTTTATATCGCTTTCAGTAGCACTGCGCGGAATCCCAAGGACTTGGTAGTAGTCTGCCTTGCTTGTAGATGGCATCACTGGCTACAGCGTGGACACCTCACGCACGTGTACAATCAGCAAGTATCAAGTATCTGAAACAAACAGCGCACATTACTCACAACCGACTTTAATGTATGCACAGTCAGGTTCAAGCTACACTTCTCTATTGTCCCATCATTGTGTGTGAGCAACAATCAGACCTTCCACACAACTGGTCTTCACGTCCCCATGGTCTACTCAGGGTGAAAGAACATTCTTCTGAACATACTTAACTTTTCCTATAGTGAGTGAGTGAGTGAGTGAGTGAGTGAGTGAGTGAGTGAGTGAGTGAGTGAGTGAGTGAGTGAGTGAGCGAGCGAGCAAGCGAGCTTTTAGCAATATCACTGTGAGGAAAACAAAACAAAAATGTAGTGACAAGGTGAACTTCAAACACAAGAGTGCAACAGTTTGACGTACTTGTTGTGCATTAGATGCAAACACCATGGCTCAAAACCTCAAGGTCACCAGCATTTCTTCGAAGTTTCCAGCATGGATCAATGTTGTTTGCAATACAGAAAGTCATTCTTTCCCACTTAGCTCGTGTTAGCATGATATTTCCAGAGAATTCTTGCTACATTACATCATGTTTGGATGAGAACCAATCTACTAAGAATAATACACTTGAGGAATTTAGTCAAAGAACAAATATTTTGTTTGTGTAGATACTTGTCAGGATACTAGTAGCTTCCTCTCACAATATCAATAACTTAAAAAAATTGTTACACACACAGGTGTAATTTTGGTACAATTTTAAATAGAAACACGACTCCCACGTGCATTCTCTACATAAGTAGTGGGCAGACAAAGTAAAATGTGAATATCCACAACAGTTTTGTTTGTTTGTTTGATGTTTAACGCTGCACTCAGCAATATTCAAGATATACATCCTGAACAGTTTTGTTTGTTTGTTGTTTAACGCTGCACTCAGCAATATTGCAGCTAAACATCCTTAACAGTTTTGTTTGTTTGTTGTTTAATGCTGAACTCAGCAATATTCCAGCTGTACATCCTAAACAGAGAGCAACAGCGAGACGTGACCACAAGCACACTGCACCAAGGTTCAAAAGACCAACATACATTACAACATAGGATGTTATACTGATAGGTTCTACTTATAATTATATTCTCATTTCCTCTCCTGAGCTTCAGGTCAAACATCCACCAGTCAGTATAAAGGAATTGGCTCTTCCTGTGGTAGTCTGTCTTACAGACCCTGATACAAATATATATCAAATACAGCCCATGCAAGTCTATAATGTTTGGCAAGTCTAGATCACTGCAGTATCAGGCTGAAAATGAAGAGAGTCACTGGGCTCCTTTTTATTATATTTTTATTAAGATAACTGAACAACTGTTTTTTTATGTACGATATGTTCATTTCAGAGACTAGATGTTAGTCTATTCCTGTGACCATGGTGACCGGTTTGAACACTCCTGATATATCAATGTTCTAACTTAACTCTGTGTAATGGGATTCATCTGAGTTAACTCGCAACTGCTTCCAAATGAATGACCAGCACTCCCTATAACCCGACCCTACCCGGGCATCTGACCTCTCCCTACTAGGGTACCCACTGTAGGCCTCAAGAGTTGGAATCAAAATCTGTGACTGGGAATTGTTTTACCGCAGCCCTGGCAAAAACTATTTCGATACATATATGTATCAAACAATCAGATCATGGGTATACTGCAGTTGACGGAAGCTTTATCTTTACTAACATATACAGTCAAAAGGAATGTTTGCATCGTCAGAAAGAAATGCGACATTAGCTACTTGTAGTGTAACCACTGAGCTATAGTGAGTTTTTGTCATTAAAAAGTTTATCACATATCTAATCACGGGTCCGAGTAGTACAGTGGTCCCTCGCTACAACGCTACCAATGGGGTCCAAATAATTGGTGGGCGTTATAGACGATGAGCCGTTTAACCGAGGCCGAGGCGGGGGAGCGCGCTCGGCAAATCTCAAATCATCAATATGTGTTTATCTCACATCACGTCAAAATAGTATATATTTTTATGGACCTAGATCTACCTGTAATATCATTCATTTATTAAATCTGTCACATTTCACAATGTCTGAAATACGTATTCCATTCTAATTTATCATTTTTTATCAATAAATTAAAAAATTATTCACTATTTCCCGCGATGTTATTGAAAATAAAATTCTCGGACACACATTTCAACAACGGGTCCGCATCGAACATGTCAAAGAGCAAAATAAAGACTATTTTAAGCAAATCTTTAAATATATTATACAAAGTGATAAATAAAATCAACAAAAATATATCTAAAAGTAATCAAACTTACATCTAAGTTTTTATTTCCATCGTTTCGTGCGATCGCGTGTAATGTAAGTCAAATGACATCTCGGCTTTCGTCGCCTTGAATTCTCGGCTCGGACACAACGTTTAATGCAAAAATATATGCATGAAAAATCTTTGTCACAGCTCGTAACCTAGCACGATACATTCGCGAAGTTCCATATTTTTAATATATATCGTGATTTCCTGCTTAAAACGTTCAGAATAACACGATTTAACAAAAAATCTTTCGCTAACTTCTGAAATTTATCAAACACGAGCTTGGTATCACAGCTATAATTTGATTGGCTGCCTGAGGTCACGTGCTCAAAATTGACCAATCACGAAACTTGTAGCAGATTTCGGCAAGAAAGCGTCATTAGAAACAAATTTTAATCCAATGAAATCACTTGTTATGACTACGGAAAAAACCAGGCGATGTTACGAAAGCGCGATTACGAAATGAATGACCGCCGTGTTGTGACAGCAACTACATGTGTGTGACAGTTTAGCCTTAAATTGGATTGCCCACTAATTAAGAATATAAACTTCGCTTGTGGTTCTCTTTTATTGCATGCATGCGCTTCTAAGATCAAAGGATGTATAGTGTGAAAAGTTAACTAGTTGAACAATCGTATTTCCGGGACTTGCCGCGGATGTTTTCAAACAGATTATTAGAACTCCATTCAGCGATAAACGGTTGATTATGCAATGAGAAGCGTTATGTGCAAATGAACAACGAACAACAATACAATTATGTCTGTGTAAAACTCTCAGTAATAAAAGTGTACATAAATTTGGGGAGCCATGTGTTACCGCGCGTAGTAACCGAGGTAGCGCTTTATCGAAGAGCGCAATAGCGAGCGATCATTGTATAGTGGGAACCCGGGTTCTACACAGGACCCACCCGACCCGGGTACCTGAGTTACCCCTCCCAGCCCTAGTGTGGTGAACATCTTTACTTGCATCACCATTTAATGAAGCCAGGGCCCTGTTCCACAAAGCGATCTTAGCGCTACGATTGTCGTAAGTCAGTGTTAAAGAATGGGAGTTATGGTCGACTTAGCGCTAAGATCGCTTTGTGGAATGGGGCCCAGGTCTGACAAGGAATTGAGGAGGTTTTGTTTGTTTGTTGTTCGCATGCTGCAGTCAGCACTTTTCCAGTCATATGACAGTGACCTGTAGTTAATAGTGTCTGGTCCAGACAAATCAGTGATTGATATCATGAGGAATAATGTGCAATGTCACACTGTCAGAGCATCAATGGCATGCTATAGATAAAGTCACCAAGCCTGACCATGCTCACCTACCTGGGTGCCACTATACAAAACAACTTAGTGCTATGACTGTCTTTGTTAAAGTATGGCAATCAGGTCATGTCTTTTGACAAGTACAGGCACGTGAAAACTGATTCTAACCTGAGAAGAAGAAACATCAGAAAACAAAACAGAGGTCATACTGTAACCTGAGCTAGTCCTACAATGACTTATTCAACTTTATCATGTTTATTATGTTTGTTGATCAGAGCCTGGAAGATCTTTTCTGATGCTATTCCAACATTTTGGCATTTATGCTTTTATGATACAAAGTGTATATTGTCCCTTATCATGATCATGCCTGATTTATATTCATTAATATGATTAAAGTCAAGCTATCTTCATACATGGAATAATTAGACCATATAGACCATGACCACAGTTCCTACATGTACAACATGTACACGATGCATGACCTGACAATCACCCATCATGCCTATTAATTTCCATAACTTAACAACCATACCTGCCACATTGATTGTTGATCTACAGAATGTACAGATGGACAGATGTCAACATATCAAAATTATTTGAATTCATAATGTCATAGTCTAAGGTTCTAAACTAAGTGACCCTGGCTGCGAGGCACATAAGAAAACAATAATTAATTTGACCCAAGTTGGCATTTTTTCTACAGTTCTTAGCAGGTAGGTTCCTAAACATGCTAAATGAAAGTATTATTCCTATCAGTGCTCTCACGTAAAATTAACATTTAACCCCCTCTCTCTTAACTAGTGAATTCAAGTCCCCAGAGCAAAGCCATATCATTAGTTATAACCGTATTAACCTGAACAAGATAAATTAGGGAATGTTTGATTCCAAATTGGGAATTTGTACTGACATTTGTTGCAGACATGAGGCCGACTATGGCTCTGAGCAGGTCTATATATATCCCTGAGAACATTCAATTGCAACAACACATATCAGTGAGCCAACTACCCCATCTGCCTGTAAGCTAGATTCAGGTAACATCTGTGTCACTATCTGACTGGGGAATATAAACAGTTATACCACACTCTGGCACACTATCGACATTACAGCTGATGTAAAAGACAACACTACTGCACTGATAAACAGTTATAAATAGCTCATTAACAAACACTTCCTGGTTTCTCCACAACAGGTCGTTAGTGTAATCGATGAGATAATGCATTTCCTTTTCAAATCAACATATGGCACTGCAGATAGGAGTGTGTTTGTAGCAAACAATATGAAATCTTGATACACACTATACATAAAAAATAATAATCAACATTTGAACCCAACATGTCCTGAAGGGCAAGTAGATAATTGCAGTCGTCCTGCAATATTTACACTTGCCCTGTTAAATTTCATGAAGTTTTATGTTCTCAGGTATTATTTATGGCAGACAGTACAAAATAATTCCTCATCATCTACGTTCATCTCCGGCTATTCAAACTCGCTCAACCATG